CATTTAAAGGCCTAGTTTGTATCAAGGTCTTGCAAAGATTCAATTTGTTTGATTACTGTATGAAGATCAAGGCCACAAAATGCCCTTGGTAACCAGCCAGGAGGAGAATGTTAGCCCGACACATTGGAGTACACCAGGTTGAGGAAAGCTGCATCTCACACTGGTCTGTTCATGGTACTTCTTGCGTCCAAAAACACACATTCAGAGTGGCATCCAAGCTTGGTCCTACGCAGAGCGGAATCACTGAAATCATAAGGACTTAATGTTAGACTCGCATCAGATACAATTACTCCTTCCTCCTGGGTAACTTTGCATGTTGTGCCTGTGGTTCAGTTCTCTCTGAAGCAGCTGCCATGAATAATGTTAAAAGACCGCCATTTATACAAAGCAGCAAGTCAAGAAGCGATCGCAGTATTGCGCTTGACTCGGCTTGCTCGTTTCTCATTCCATCCTGCGGACATTTTCAAGGCAGGCCGACTTCTTCCTGCTAGGATGGTAGAGCTTTGAAGCAGACGTTCTGCGTTCAGCTGAAAGAGTCAGTTTTTAAAATCGCAGTGGGGGCTTTTAAAATGCCATCGTTTGAAGCGGTGGTCAGTGCTGACGGTCAGGGTCCTTCAGCCAGCCTGGCACTGCTGCTGACAAGCGCTGCAGGTTTCGGCTTTGCCGCATTCCTTCTGCAAAAGGAGTCTGCAAGTCACTCGGCCCAACCTCCTTCACTCCTCCTCAAACGCTGCACTTCAAGATCAGCGCTCGATAGCACCCTTTTTAATACCCAAGCACCAGGAGTAAATCTATTCCGGAGTAAATCTGTTCCTCAAGAGAGTTTTGCCACACAATTGTCTTACTACCTCCCTGAAATCCTGAGGAACCTACTGGTGTGTAAAGAGCTCTGCAGGCTCTCGTAGTTCTGCATCCTTTGCAGTGCAAGAGCTCAGGAGAATCATCTGTTTTCCACTACAACTTGACGGGAACGAAATGCCCGCTGTTGTGATAGGTGGAAAAGAAGGCCCTTAGAAGGCTAGGGCACCCTTTATCTCCCCGCACTCCACCACCATGGTGCTTTTATCGCACTGTCTGCTACAGAGCTGCTTTGCACCACAAATTTTTAAATCGGTACTATGTAGGCAGGAGTTCGATACGTGACACTTCCGTTTATTGCAGTGGCCACCCAGAGAGCGAGATGCTAAAAGATGAGCTTTTATGCACCATTCATACATAAACCTAAGAAATATGCCCACCATCGCGTGTGAAATGATGGGCATTTGTATACTTCGTAGTAAACGTGCTTCAGCTACCCAAAACATGAGGGCATTTCAGCAGAACGGTTGCTGGTGTGTGTTTCATGGCGTACAGATGGGCTCTGGGCAGGGGAGAGCTCTTGGGACTGCAGTGGGTTGTGTGCGCATTGTGAAAAAGGTGGGTTCTGTATGGGGGAATCACCGGGAATGGGGTCAGAACTAACACCGTGTGTGCCACTGGGCAAGACGCGGCCGAGGGTGACCAGAATTCACAATTGGCTGGAGCAGCTCCTCTCTGAGGAATGTTTGCAGCACTGGGGTCTTCTCAGCTTGGGGGGGAAATAGGTTAGGGCAAAATTTCCATAAAGGAAGCCACAGGCTTGGGGTACGAGAGCTGGACGGGGCCGTCAAGGGCAGGACATGTGGAAGTGTGCTAATTCTCAGGGCAGCCATCGGTTGCAGAGGGCCGGAGAGCATGTAGCAGCAAGAAGGGGCGCGGGAGGGTATGGGTGGTGTCGAAGACGCGTTGGGGTCACCCCAGGAACCCGAGTGGCAGGAGACTGCGGGCAGGCAAGCACGAGCCGCTCCTCTCTGCCTGCACAGCTAAGCAGTAGCATTTGCTGTCCCGAAACATGGCCGTGGCCACCACCTTGGGCAGCTTTGGGAGATGAGAGGAATTCGTGGGGGATGGGGCCGTTAATGGCTGCTGATCAGGATACGCCCCCGTAACCGCAGAGCAACTCTGGGCAAGGATTGTGTCCTTCTGTTTTGCTGGTCCCACAGGCAGCCTGCTTGGAAGCTGGGCCGATACAGTCCTGCTCTTCCGGGTGTGCTTTGCGATTACTCCTGTGTAGGGAAGAGGACTCCTCCTAATGCCTGCTTAACCCCCGTTTTGACAATGGCTTTTCTGTGGTGAATGGTGTGGCTGACATCACGGCTGTTGCATTGCAATGTCTAAAAATATCCCTTGCTCAGCATTCCCTCTTGGGTGGCTAGTGCTCTGTTGTATAATTGTTGATGCTAAAGGACGCTGAGAAGCCCGTTTCGAAGGTGCCCAGGCTCATCGGGAAAGGTGGTAAAGCAGTTCTCCCTCTTGTATCCTAGCCTGTGGCTTCGCTCATCTCCGATCGGGTGTGTGACTAAAATTGCAAGGGAGCATTAATCCAAACATCTACTGATTTCAATGATGCAACCCGAACTCTGCACGAACCACGCCTAAAAAACATTTCTCGGCAGCTATTTTCCAGACCTTTCCTGCCTTCTTTATAGCCGCATCTCTTAGCTGAAAGTAACCTAATTACTTTAGCTTCCCTCTGCAGCCTGGAACTTTCTGTCTAGTGTTTGACCTTATCGGCACAGTGCAGATTGCAATGGGAGGGGCCGGTGCGTATGCCGCGCCAGCGCCGGGCAGCCAACAGTAATGTCTGGAATGTGATGGTGTGTGCACTTACACGCACGCACGCGCACACAGAGGTCAGAGAACAAAGTCTGTTACTCCCCGTCAGGCTTAGTACCTCCAAGTGGATCAGCGTTTAAACTGTGATCTCGTTTAAACGCGGCCAGTTTGCTTGGCTACCTTCCCTCGCCTTGCGCAAAAGCTGTCCTTTCCACAGAGGTCCTCGTCGCACCGGGAGACGCTGCAGTGCGCCGGTTGCGAAAGGGTCCGTCGGGTTTGCCTCTGCAGTTCTGAGCGCAAATGTCGGATGCCGCCTGCACCACTCGGCAGCATCGGCGATGGCGGACGGGTTTGGCCCATGGCACCCCAAGCAAGCCTCGGTCGTGTTTTGGCAGAGCAGGCTTGCGAGCGTCATCTGGGCTGCTGCTTCTGTCCTCCTCTGCCTGACAGAACAGTCCATTATCCAGCCACTTCCTTTTCCAATTGACTTGCCCGGCTCACTCTTGTCACAAAGAACGCCTTTTATATTTCTAACTTCTCCTTAAAGGGCAAGTCGAGTAGTGTGATTGGAGCCAGAAGAGGAGATGCATTTAACATTGCGGATCCCGAAATAGTTGAACAGAAGCACAATCCAGTTTTCTCAAACAGTTAAAAGTGGATCGTAAAGAGCAAGGGCTAGCGAGCAAGTGCTCCCAGGGGGAAAGCCTCAGAGCCAGCCAGTTGCCTTCCTGTGTTGTAGAATCTGTGAATGACCAGGAGGAGATGGAATACAAGTGAAGGCGGGCGCATGTGGAGACAGTGTCCACACCCAGGTTGGGTTGGGTATGATTGCCAATCCCTGAAGAGATTCGCTCGTTGCACTTAGTCCTTCTGTTTGGCATAATGCTCTGCCTTTTGTGAGAGGTGATCAGGAGACCCGGGCCAGCCAAGCGAGCATCTGTTTGGTCAGAAATCCTCACATGATGTTCGAGCTGTATCTGTGGCTGCCTATAATCTCACGCTGCTCTTTTAGGGTTGATGTGAAGCTAAGCAGACGGAAGCAGTTTTGACCTTCGACTTAGTCTGGCAACGAGCACCTGAAAATATCCACGTCTGATTTACACCATGAAAAGCAACGCCGTTCAGCAGGCTTCCCCCCCTTGTAAATATGCACCTTCTTAAAATACTGCAGTGCAGTTAAGGGGCCCTGAGCATTCCCAGCAACAACGGGCCGTAGCTGCAGTCAATTTCCCTGAGCAGCGTGCGATTCGTGCCGGGCGAGAGTTTTGGAATGCATGAATCCAGAGCATGTGTCATGTGCTCGCTTTTATCGGTTTCCTCTCCGGAGGCCAACCATCTCTCGTAGCAAGATCAGGCTGTGGAAAATATTCCCCCACCTTTGGGTTTAAATGGAGTGCATTTAAAGATGCTGTTTCATTTTTCCGCATGCACCTGGGAAGCGATTAAATAACAGCGGCGTATTTAATGAGGTGGGCTTCGTGCGAACGGAAGGGGAGCGTCTCCGGTGGTGGCAGCATCCATTAATAGAATGGTTGCTGGAAGGTGCTTCTGCCCAGTTTTTAGCAGTCCCCCACCCTATGCTGTTCAGAAGTCTCCTCCCACTTTTCAGGGGGCTGGAGGGTCTCCCATAGGAAAGAGAGGACAAGAAAGTCCTATCAGGAGCTTCTGATAACGACCCCCATTTCACTTCCTGTAAGTAACTTAGTGAAAAGTTGGCTTTGTTTTCCAGGAAGCAGGTGATATACCGCTCATTTGTTCTGGCATCCTGTTGACTTAGTGGCCCCTGAAGGATTTCTGTTAGGCGGCCTAAGGGCCATTCTGTATATTATGGGCTGGAAAGTCCAGATTTGCTGCAGGGAATGAAAGTCTTGGCATGAAGCATGGGATTTAAAACGTGGGTTGTCTCATTCAAACTGCATCACTGGGTTCAGACATAATAACACACCATGGCTCCAGGGCTTCTACAGAGCTTTCATTTTGAACCAGCAGGAACTTCCTTGGAGTTTGAGCTTGGAGAAACGTGGCCAGTCAAAATCCAGTTTGTTCTAAGTGACCACCATTAGAGCAAACCACAAGTGGCAAGAGCCATTTGAAACAAGTTGGTCAACGGTTTAGGGTAACGGGGAGGTAATGAGAAAAAAGACTGCTAGAATTTCTGTCAAGGTTCAGCTGACAACCCTGTAAAGCCCCACCTGTGCTGCCTAAGGCCCTTCCCTCCCTCAGAGGTGCTGGGATTTGAACTCAGGACCGGATGCATGCAAAGCGTGTGCTCCGTCTGCTGCAGGGATATTGGTGCGAGGCCTCCTCCTCTTGAATTTCCAGTCTGCAGCTTCTGCCTGTACTGATTAGTGCCCTCTGACTTGCAGAAAATGGACCCTACCGGTGTGAAGGTGCTGGAAACAGCGGAGGACATACAAGAGAGACGTCAGCAGGTGTTGGACCGATACCACAGGTTCAAGGAGCTGTCCACCTTGAGACGCCAGAAGCTTGAAGATTCCTACCGATTCCAGTTCTTCCAGCGTGATGCTGATGAACTGGAAAAATGGATCCAGGAAAAGCTCCAGATTGCGTCCGATGAAAATTACAAAGACCCGACCAATCTGCAGGTAGGAACATCTTCAGATGGTTCATGCTCTCTGTCCAGGTAGGTGCTGCATGTGAAGGAACTCAGAAGCCTCGATAATGCAGGTCTTACTCCCGTTGAATGTTTTTCTTTTCCAGGGAAAATTGCAGAAGCACCAAGCTTTCGAAGCTGAAGTACAAGCCAATGCTGGGGCCATCGTTAGGCTGGATGAGACTGGGAACCAGATGATTAAGGAGGGGCATTTTGCATGTGAAAACATAAGGGTGAGTGTTGGCATTTTTCCCAGGACTGTCTTTCAATAAGAGTCATTTAATGCAACCTTTGGACATTCCTAAGTAGGCCTGTTGGTTATTTGTCCACCTGCAATGGCAGTGGGAATAATATGATCACTGCGTCAGAGCTCTTTTCTCCCATAAAAACGTAAAACATGCCGGGACTGCATTTAATCAGATCAGATTCCAGGGCAGCATTCCACAGTGTGGTGCCCTGCATATGCTGTGGACTTCAACTCCCGACAGCCCCAGCAATGGGCAGAAATGTCGTGAGTCCAGAATATCTGAAGGGCATCACAAAAGGAAGGGCAGTCACTCTGAAGGATCCTCAAACAGCTGCAATGCAAAGCATCAGACACTCACAACTGCCAGGCAAGCGGAGGAGTTATTAATATGGCTTAGCCTGGATAAGTAAAAATGTACCCAAGGTATTGCAAAATAAGCACCAGGCATGCCCCTTTGAGGAAGACTTTGCAAATCTTAGGTACCATAATTGGAAATCGGACCTCGTGGTCTCTGATAAGCGGAGTGTTATTCGAGCTTCCGGAGGCAGTGAGTAACTGCTTTGAGGAACTGAACGGCGGTTCTCCGGCCTGCGCCCTCTTGGCAAAGAGCTTTGAGTGCAGTGCTGGGCCCGTTAGCAACATTTAGGAGCTTTATCATCTTACATGCCTCTGCAGTGGTCTGGTGTGGAAGGTCACCGCTCGCTCACGCTGCGAGGTCATTAAATGAAAAGCTCTTCTTTAGGACCAAGACAGATTGCACGGGAGAGGTTAGGAATGGTCAGGCATTCGGTTTGCGGAAACCCTTTACATTTGTTTTCTGTGCAAATACGCACAATGACAAGCTAGATCGCTCATTCCATAGCGTTGAACGGTATGTGGGCAAAGCTGCACCACAAATTATACTGCTGGCCGTGTGGCCCAGAGACTGGTTCTTTTACGAATGTAGCACAAGTATTTCCCCCTCATCCCTGTAGGATTGATGTTGTTCTGTTTGCGAAAGTAACCCCTGTGTATTAACGGTTCAGTCTTTCACGCCATACAGGACTGCTCAGCGCCCAATAGTAACCACCACCCAAGTTGGGGCCCAGATACGAGTAGGTGGATTGCTGGTTGTGTGAACGCTGTTTTTACACTCTTTCTTTGAATGCATCTGTCCTTTTCCTTCCCTTTGGATGATGTCTTTAAAAAAGAAAAAACAGCATGGGAACAGGTCCATATGTTATGTCATCAAGAGATGGTTGCTGCTGAAAATGGCATCCCTTTTGTGGATTTACCTATCCACAACCTGACCAGTGAGCAGATTCAGGGTTTTGGAAAATGTCTGCATCACCGTTCAGCCTTCAAGGCAGCTTCCAGATTGAAAACAGAAGAGCACGGTGCTTCCATGAAATCATTAAAACAGCAACCTGAAAGGAAATACAATTGAAATTAAAATCTAAAAATTTAAAAATCAGCATCCGTCCAAGAGGGATTTCCCAGCCTCCCCAACTTGACTTTCAAGTCGCTCTTATTGATGATTGCAGCACAGTAAAGCTGGGCGGAGTGAGCATTGCCTGTGCTTTGCTTTGCAAAAGCCATGCTGTCTTTTTCCCCCCATGCTCCTTTAACAGCCCCATGAGTCCTAGACGCTTCCAGGATTCTGATTTGACTAGAGGGCTTCCTTCCTTTCGACTAGTACATCTCAGTTGTCTTGCTTCACTGCGGTCCACAGAAGCCTTTGTCTCTCCCACAAGAAGGGGTCATATGTAATCCAACACATGTAAACTGGAAACAAACGACAAAGCGGGCTCTTACTGAATCGATTCATAAAACCTTGTCTTACAAAGCCGGCCCTACTTCTTGTGAGGCTTGCCTTCGATTCAGAAACAAAAGACGACTTCTTAGATTTCCTCCGGGGGTTGTGCCGTGGTTCATATCCTCATATGTCCGCTTGGAAGCCAACTGCTAAAATGGGTGAGAAAAGGAGCCCTTTGGAAAAACGTGAGGCCGCGCGGTGCTGTTTGGATGCACCCGCCATTCCCGGGGGAAGTTTGCAGAGTGGCCTCAGGTTAGACAAAGGGCCCGGGAGGGCCCTCAGTTAATGCTCGTCCTTGTTCTTTATTTGCATGCCAGGTGCAAAATTGTGGCAGCTGCCGCTGTCGGGCGGCAGGAGCCAACGCAGGGTTGGGACTAAGGAACTGGGAGTCCCTGCGAACACGGCCAGCTCTGGACTTTGCTTTTAGACCCTGCATTAAACTCCCAGTGCGTTTGCACAGAAATCCGCTTCTGGTCTTCACCTGAGCTTTCTTTCTCGCAGCAGCTTAATAGGCCTCCTCCTGTGCCTGCTTCTCTTAAGCTCTTGGGAGTCGGAACAGCGGCGGCCCACTGGAGTGGAGCCCTGAATGTTTCCTTTGGAGCACGGGGTCTCTGGGAGCCCCCCTGCTGCCCAGGAGCACTTGCTGAAAGGAAGGTCCAGAGTCTGATGGTCCCCCGGACAAGTTGGCTTTTTGCCCACATAGAAACAGGGCGAGTCTAAAGGGGCCTCCCGGGCCATCTCATCTGACCCCCAGCTCCAGCCGGCTCCGCTCACGACATGCCCACCATGTGCCTGTCCAGCCTCTCTTTGAACATGGGCTTCACCTGCGGCCACCTCTGCCCTTTGAAATATCCTGCCTGGTTTGTTTTTGTTTTTGAAATGCCCTCCTATCTCTTTGCCCCAATCCCTTTTGTCATAGCAGCCACGGTCCTTTACAGAAACACCAAGGGAAATTTTAGTGTACGTATAAAGCAGCACATACAAATTTGCGCAGGTGTTGTCCCTGTGGGCCTGACCCTCGATGTGTTCGGTACCTCGCAGCATCGCTGCTGAGCAACACTGGCCGATTTCTGCGTCGCATTGAAAGCAAGTGTTGTTTTTCTGGCCAAAGTTACTTAAAACAAAGCAGGATCAGGTCTGTGACAAGAAAGCGACCACGGAAGTTAACTGTGGTATCGCCAATAGCAAAATTCCATTCTGTCTCTCCTCCTGCTGACTGCAAGGAATGGAACGCTTCTTTGCGTTGCTTTGCCATGTTCCTTAAAAACTCACAGTTTAATATCTGGTGTAGTTACGTTGGTTTTATCATTTTTATCATTATTTTAAAATGGTTTTATCATTTAAAAAAAAAATCCAGACTCGACTTCAGGAGCTTCACCGGTTGTGGGAGTTACTGTTGGAGAAAATGCGGGAGAAGGGCGTGAAGCTGCTGCAGGCCCAGAAGCTCGTGCAGTATTTGCGGGAATGCGACGATGTGATGGACTGGATCAACGACAAGGTATGTGGGCTGGGACTAAGAGGCCGCTCCCGGGTGTAGGGTGTCGCTTGATGGGTGTCCTGTTGCCGTGCAGGAGATCGGGCCTAGAGGAGTCGGAACGACGTCTCGGGTGTCTTGTGTGAGGCGGAATTAGGTTGCACAGAAAGGCTCACGATCAGACCAAGCAATTGTCCCTGAGATAATTAACTGGTGGAGAAAAATGGACTTTCCAGATCACTGCAGGCCTTAAAAATGGAGATACGGACTAGAGAGCAAGTGAGGAAACAGATGCTTTAGTTTTTGGGACTGAACAGCTTAAATTACTTTAAAAAAACCCTCACTTTCTGGCAGTGGTGGATTAGCAAGCAGCACCCCCACCATTCGTGAAAACTGCTGTGCATTTTGCGTACAGTCTAATTACTAGCACTGTCTTTTCATCCTGTTTTACCAAGGTTCACAGAGTGACTTAGGACAGAGTTAAAAGGAACACGATGCCAAGTGTATCCTGCTAAATTAAAAATTTCCTTTGAAGACTGCTGGGTAGTAGAAATCTGTTATTGCAGAATGAATAAAGAATACGTTGAGAGAGAGCTTGTAGCTTTTTGAAGAGCTTAGCAGCATCTGGAACACATTCGCCTTGTTTCTCAAGTAGGGTAACTCATAACACAACTCACAATTACAGCCCAATCCTGTGCATTTCTGCTCACAAGTGAGGCTGCTGTGCGCTGTAGGGGTTTTGCTCAGGTGTGTCGTGCAAGCGATACCGGGGGGTAAACAGCATCGAGCACAGTTGCAATTACTGACTAGTAAACATACATTGGATCGCACTGTCGCAATGCATTTTTGGTCCATGATGATAGAACTTACTCCCAAGGAAGGATACATGGTATTGTGTCGGTACAGAAGCTGTTTGCGTGTGGTTATGTATTCTGACATTGCTGGTGGTTCAGACATAATGAAGAACCAGATTGCTCAGACGTAATTTGTGGTAATGACTGAGGGGCTAAATTGGTATCAGGGACTGCAGGTGGCACAGTGGTTTAAACCGCTGTGCTGCTGGGCTGGGTGATCGAAAGGTCGCCGGTTCGAATCTGCACAACGGGGTGAGTTCCCGTTGCTCCGTCCCAGCTCCTGCCAACCTTGTAGTTCGAAAGCGTGCAAATGCAAGTAGATAAAAAGGCGCCACTTCGGTGGGCAGGTAACAGCGTTCCGTGCACTTCGGTGTTTCGTCACGCCAGCCACACGACCACGGAGACTGTCTGCGGACAAGCGCTGGCTCCCTCGGCCAGGAAACGGAGATGAGCAGCCCCCCCGGAGTCAGGCGTGACTGGACATAACGTCAAGGGGAAACCTTGACCTTCACCTTTTACTGTGGAAGTACTGAGCAAGTGAGCCATTCCTGGACTGACTGGGCTCTTGCACATTGGAAGTGACCTGTTTATAGTTGCAGATCCATCTTCAGGCATCAGTGCCCAGGGGATATATGACAAAATAAAGCCAGGTTCTTATTGAACATCCTGTTTGGACAGTGGTGTAGTAGGTTTGGGGTTCAAAAAGCAGGGCTGCTTCCCCTCGAGTGACTCTCCTGTCCCTGGAGTTGCCCCGGTGTGCCGACGTGCCCTGTCGCTGTGCTTGCTAGGAGGCGATCGTCACCTCAGAAGAGCTTGGCCAGGACCTGGAGCATGTCGAAGTCCTGCAGAAGAAATTTGAGGAGTTCCAGACAGACCTGGCAGCCCATGAAGAGAGAGTGAATGAAGTGAACCAGTTTGCTGGCAAGCTTATCCAGGTAGTGGCCTTGGGGGTTTGGGCTTCTGGAGGCGGCAGGAGGTGTCCTCAGCAGCCCGGTGACTCCCCGGCTCTGCGTTTACTTACCTGAAAAAAGCAAAGCAGGGGGAGAATCAAAGGTGGTCCTGGTGGTCTGTATCGCCTCCTGTGCAAGGGGCATTCTGGGAACATCCTCTCGGCTGGACCCACCGAGCTCTCTGGATTTCCTTAACTTAAGAATCGGGACCCAAATAACGTCAGCTGATCCCCTGTGTCGGGTGAACAAGGACACGCTGCACGTGCACACGAATATATATTCAAATTACTTGCTTTTCTTTGACTGAGGGAAGGTTGGAGGGCAAGTTCAGCCTCCCCAGCCTGGTGCTGACCAGCTGTGTTGGAGGAGAGCTCTCATAAACCTCTCCTGGCTGAAGGATGATGAGGGGTGGGATGTCCTCCAACACATCTGGAGGACTCCATTATGGGGAAGACTGAACACGTAGCATTCCAGACAACTCTGGAGAGTTTCCAGTCTCCTCTGGTTGTCCAGTATTTGCAGAGCAGCTTTGGGTGCTGCATATAATTTATGAAAATCCTGTTCTATGGGAAGGTTGGATTGTGGGTGGAAAGAGCAGAAACCATTCAAGAAGAAGGTAGCCCTTCAGCCAGTGCAGATTCATCCAAAGGTCCCCAATCCCCTCGCCTTCCTAGGAGCAGCATCCTGAAGAAGAGCTGATCAAGTCTAAGCAGGACGAAGTCAACGCGAGCTGGCAGCGCCTGAAGGGGCTCGCTCTTCAGAGGCAGGGCAAGCTCTTCGGAGCAGCTGAAGTGCAGCGTTTCAACAGGTAGGGGCTCGATCGGCTTTCTCCGCGTGCGCACGCCTTTTGGCTCCAAACGAACCACGACCGTGAGCATTTTTCCATTTAGAGTGAACTCATCGGCACTGCCGTGGTCCGTCTAGGCACTGCAGTTTGCGCGGGTTGGTGGTGGGTTTGCAAGTCCCAGGCAGGACGTGATTCAGGGACCCAAGTCCTTGACTCCTCTGCTGAAGGTCTGAAACTGGGACCTTCTGCCGGGTCGTTCGCCCTCCCAAAGTGGCATGAACTCACACCGATCTCGGTTATGGTTTGGCTCATGGGAAGGACGAATTTCGTGCTGCTTAAAATGAGAGCCTGGTGTGTGTCTCTCTCCCTTTCTCCGAAATGGATTCCTTTCCATTACTCGGAATAAGGGGCCGGAACAGCAACGTATTGGGTCTCGTTTGAGGTATCCCTTTTGCAGATGGGATCCTAAGGATGTAAGATGGCCGCCCAACACATCTGGGAGCAGCTGGGTTGGAAAGGCTGCGGCAAGAACTGTTTAGTGGGGGGACTGTTGGCATGTGCAGGTTCCCCCGGCATGGTGTGGCGAAAGCTGGCTTTTGTTTCCGAGTAAATAGCAAAGATGGCCTTCTGCAGTTCTGTGGCTCCGATGAGGTCTTTGCCTTACTCCAATAGGGGGATGTGCATGAACCAAGCTGGGCTTTGCCTCTTGCAGGGACGTGGATGAAACTATTAGCTGGATTAAAGAGAAAGAGCAGCTGATGGCTTCGGACGATTTTGGCCGAGATCTTGCAAGTGTCCAGGCTTTGCTCCGCAAACACGAGGGCTTGGAGAGGGATCTGGCTGCCCTGGAAGACAAGGTAGACTCCCATTATCTTTTAATTGGAAGGGCATTGCTGGCCCCTTATTTTTCTTTTCTGTAATATTTCAATCTGCCTTCATCAGTCAAAATGAAGATCCTCCCGAGGATTGCCACTCCCATGGGGCTGACATACAACTTGGAAAGCCGTCTCGTTAATCTGGTTTAGCGTGTCCACCTGGGCAAGAGCCCGGCCGGAACATGCAGCAATCCATTCGGTTCCCATCAAACCGCCCTTGCGGCTACGGCCTTCCTCTTTGCCCCAAATCCCCCAAATCCGGCGCCCTTTTGCCGAGACAGGCTTCAACTGGGTCTCGTTGTCAGCTTTGGCGGCTCCTCTGTCTCTAGGTGAAAGCCCTGTGCGTGGAGGCCGACAGGCTGCAGCAGTCCCACCCTCCAAACGCAGCTCAGATCCAGGTGAAACGGGAGGAGCTGATCGCAAACTGGGAGCAGATCCGCACCCGTGCGGCTGAGCGGCACGCTCGCCTGAACGACTCCTACAGGTACAGCGCCACTCACTTGGGCAGGCGCCCCCCTCTCCTGGAAGGAGTCCTTGCCCAGACGCCCCCCTGTGTTGGAGGGGAGGAAGAAAGGCATTTCGGAATGCTTGCATGCAGATCGGCATTTTTCAGGGCCAGGGCGTGTTTCTCTTGGATTTTGCTTCCCAAGTAAACTTTTCCCCAAACGCCTTGGGCAAGAGGGAAAGAAGATTACCCTGTCATCTGCAGCAGGATAAACTGGTTTTCGGATGATCACCTGTTGTGGCATTCCTTTAATCCGTTGTTAGCCACGGAAGCCTCCAGAAGTGCTGGGCTAACCAGTGCTCGTGAATTGCGCTTGTTATACGGATTTGTGGCCAAATATTAAGTATCTTAAAGTGCATTAAAGCTGTAGCCAAATACTGGGCTAGTTTGCTCAAACCGTATGAGAAGGGGGTGTCCTCCCTGCTCTGCCCACGCTTGCAGCCGCCTTCTTTGCCTCACGCGGTCAGAGTTCCCGGCACTCCGTGTCCAAGGGCCTTCCATCTCCCCGGCCCTCTGTTCATACAACCTCCTGTAACCTGAGCTTTCTCTGCTCTCTGCCATCCTGTTATCTTCCCCCACCAGAGCGGAGGAGGGAAATAGCACAGAAGCTCGAAAAGTATGCACCTGATCTTAGCAATGTGAGCTGCACTGGGATGTTTCACTTCTGCTATCTCCTGCCCTTTCTCAAAGGCTGCAGCGATTCCTTGCAGACTTCCGGGATCTCACTAGCTGGGTGACGGAAATGAAGGCTCTGATCAACGCGGATGAACTTGCCAACGATGTGGCGGGAGCCGAAGCCCTGCTGGACAGACACCAGGAGCATAAGGTAATCACCCCGGAGCGGCGTCCGCCCGCCCGCCCGCTGCCTCGTGCCCCGCCGTGCTGCTGACCCGTGCAGCTGACTGGTGTTCGGACAGTCGGAGGCTCTCCAGATGAAGTGCTTTTGTGTCATGCTGGATTGTCTTCAGAGGCAGCCTCGTACAGAGCATGGGACGAAGGGTGGGCTAGATCCCCCTTTTATCTGTACGAAGGCAAATAAGGCCACGGTGCGATGCCTGTTGAGCTCAGAGGAAGGTTCCTTCGTCTCCCAGCATGCCACAGCCAGCCACTTTCCTGTCCAAACATGCACAGAAATGCACCCTAAAGATCTCCCAGTCCTGTAGCCACATGCGTGACTGACTTTCCGTGCTTGCTTCTTCACAGACGTGTACGTTTTGGGGTGTTTCTAAACGGTTGCTTTATCCTTCCGGAAGGTGAACGCAGGTTGCTTATGTGTTGCTACAGGGAGAGATCGATGCTCACGAAGACAGCTTTAAATCTGCGGATGAGTCTGGGCAAGCCCTGCTGGCCGCTGGCCACTACGCCTCCGATGAAGTGCGAGAGAAGGTGCGTTGAGTCGCCTTGCCGTGCGAGGGCCACGGAAGTGGAGGAGAGGATCAGTCCAGCCACCCCTGACCTCCTGCTCCCCCAGAGGGCTGGGCGGCAGCTCCTATCCTTACTGGCCACTTTGGCTGGGAAGGAGGGGGGGGCACCCCGTCAGCGGAGGCCAGATTGCTGTAGGCCCTGGGGCCATAAGGGCAAAAGCGCTGTGCAGGCATTGATCGCAAGCGTTCCGGTGCCTCTGGTGTCACTTTCCCAGTCCTGCGCCCTCCGATGCGTCTGTCCAAGGGACGGAGCTGGGGGCATCTCTGTGGAAAGGAACAGGCGCTCGGACGGAGTCTCGGCCCCGGCCCAGCTAGTCCGGGAAGCCCAGCGCCACAGCAGGGGCCAGGCGTAGTGTCACCATCGTCCCGCACCCACAGCCTCTTGGGGTGACCGCGCGCGTCGCTGCCGGGGGTAACTTTCCTGCCCCTCTGCCCCTCAGCTGACCATTCTGTCGGATGAGAGAACTTCCCTTCTGGAGCTGTGGGAGCTTCGTCGGCAGCAGTACGAGCAGTGCATGGACCTGCAGCTTTTCTACCGGGACACCGAGCAGGTCGACAACTGGATGAGCAAGCAGGAAGTAAGTGTGGCAGGCACACGCTCACGGGGCTGTGTGAGTGCCACGCGCTCTGCAGCACTGGCCCAAGGAGCGCTCGCCGCTACGGCACGTGTGAACGATTCGCATGCCTCCTGCATGACTTCATTCCCTTTCTCCCTCTCTCTTTGTGCAGTTACTGGGCATTTATGATACGGGCAACCAAGGATGTTAGCCTGACTAAGGAGTCCGCATTTGATTAGCTGTCAAGCGCTCCCAGAGCTTCGTGCCAGGTCTTCTCCTTTTCAGTCCTGAAGCAAGGCAGAGTAGATGGCTAGCTTCAGACGGAATGAGGGGCTTCTTTAAGGCGGACGGCACACGCTGCCTCCAAGGGGCAGCACCGCTTGAGTTACAGACAGGATTGACCAAGGGCTGGTACCTGTAGAAAGCAGGCTGGAAGGTGTGCGTTGCTGCTCCGGACAGTTCGTGCAGCGTCCTGTTTCCCATGGTGGCCGGCCAAATGCACCCCAAGCAGGGCATGTGGGCAACGATCCTTCCCCGTTGTCCCACTCACTTGGGACCGGAGTCCAGAGGTACACTGCCTTCGAACCTGGAGGTTCCATTGCAGCAAACACCTGCCCCCAATCCTGCCTTGTAAAAGCCATTCGCTCCACGTCGTACGGCTGCGGTTTCCCCCTGCACTGCGCAAAGAGGTGCTTTCTTGCCAAACAACAGACCCTACCCGATTTTTTTACTCATTCTCCCCGCCCTCTTTCCCCTTCAGGCCTTCCTGCTAAACGAAGACCTTGGCGACTCCCTCGACAGCGTGGAAGCGCTGCTCAAGAAGCACGAGGACTTTGAGAAGTCTCTCAGTGCCCAAGAAGAGAAAATCACGGTACGGCGCTTCTTTCGGCTGGGCTGGGGGCTGCTTTGCGTCACAAGTGAAGGCGAGCCAGCTAAGCAGAAAGTCTCAGTGCAGTTGCTTTAGAACGAGTGAGAGGGACCGTCTTGCCGTGCCGTCCTTTTCTTTCCAAAACGTATAGACTAAAGAGTCTGTTGGCTATATGCCACATAACCTTAATACTATATTTTAACTGTGTGCAGTAATTACAGCATACACAACTGAGAATCTGTTCACCTCGAACTGTGTGTGCCGAAGTAGCAGCGTTCTCAGCGGCAGTTGTGCTGTCTTCAAAGCCCCTTTTCACTAATTGGGTCAAACTGTCCCTAATTAGAATGACCCAAATTTTCAGAAGCCAGCTTTGTATAATAGACCTTGACTGATTCCACTATCGAGCACTTGCGATCTGCGAGTCCCAGGTCATAAACCCCCACTGGAAACCCCTGAACTAATAACGTTCAGCCGTTTCGAAAGATATTTCCCAAGACTCGCTTCCGAAAAGGACAAGGGCACATAACTAAAAATACATGTTGGGCTTCCCATCAGATTGAAAAGTGCTATCCAAAAAAATCCTTTTTTTGTGAGCGGAGCAGGATGTTTATGTGGTAACTAAACTGCCCAAGTACTTCCGTTAGTGTTAGGAAACATTAATGCTTGTTCAGCACTACCAGGACCTGTTTCCTTCGATCGCCACGGGCGAGAAATCTTCGTTTTGCTTTTTTGCACTAAATGCAGTGTGCTCCACCAAGTGGAACCGGGCATGAGGAAACGGAGGCAGCCTCTCCTCATCCTGTGTTTTCTTACTTGGGGAAAGACTTGTGGGGTTTACTTCTGGGTAAACATGTACAGAGCCAGATAGAGCGACTGAAGGTTCTCTTTGAAATGGGTCCTGTTAAGAACATGGGGTCTCTCTCCCAGGTGGATGTGATTGAACCTTGATATCAAATGCAATTGAGTCTGTGCTTAGGCGTTCCTATACTGTGCACATTCTAGAATTAGCATGCACACCTTTGGTGGGTTGCTGATGTACTTCAGTAAGATTTAAAACAATAGGGTAATTACTGCGGCGAGGATTGCATTTGCTCAGCGCTGGAGAAGTGAAGAACCACCCACCGACGAACTGATCCTGAAAAGGATCCTGGACTGTGCAGAAATGGATAGATTGACTTTTTTTTTTAGACATTTTTATGCCGCCCCATTCGCCGAAGCCTCGGGGTGGCTTACAACATTAAGTTAAAATACAAATATATTAAATTAAAATACAAACATTAAATTATAACCTGAAATTAAAATGTTTGTAAAGTGTAAACATAAAGTTAAAACACAAAAATAACAATATAAAATAAAATGACTTTGTCAGTGAAGGAGAAGCAAGATACTGACTTCTATCAAGTTTGGGACTCTCTTTATTATTTGCTAGAGAAACGGGACTTCGCATAGATTTAAATATGTTTTTAAGTTATCATAAATGGAAAAAGAAGGGTGTTGGGGCTGACCCAGCGGACCCGATGTTTTTGATGCTGGATGTTGTTTTTTATTGGTTTGTTTGTTTTTTAGGGTTATAATTTCAAATAAAACTTATTCAAAAAGATCGAAAACAATAGGCTCTTAAGGCACGGCTCATTTATCAGGGTGCTCATTTTAGGAGTGACATTAGGAATTATGGCAATGCATTGAGTCTGGGCCATTGCCAAGCCTGCAGCTAGCGCTGGAAACATTAATTGCATAGTTAATGAAAACAAATTTCTCTTTTTTAGGCCCTGGATGAATTCGCTACAAAACTGATTCAAAACAACCACTATGCTAAAGAAGACGTCGCAACACGCAGAGATGCTGTAAGTTTAAAGACACTTGTGCGGCTCACATTTCTGTTTTTTTAAAGAATTAGAATTTTCTAGCTGAGGTCGAGGGAATGGTCTGAGATTAAAGATCTCGCAGAGAAAGTCGCGATTCACCGGAAGGTCACTCTTCTCCTTCTGGCTCCTTCCAGCTCCTGAGCCGCCGCAACGCCCTGCACGATCGGGCCATGCTTCGCCGTTCCCAGCTTGCAGACTCGTTCCACCTGCAGCAGTTTTTCCGGGACTCCGACGAGCTGAAAAGCTGGGTCAACGAAAAGATGAAAACGGCCACCGACGAGGCTTACAAGGTGCAGTCATTCTCTGGGCAGCTCCGCTGGGCCTTCTGCGTTCCAGGTCAGGGTATCTTTGTGGGATGGTGGGCGTGAGGTGCGGGCAGCTGCTCCCGGCGTGGGAGAGCGCTTCTCCCTGGCACTTTCCCGGCCCCGGTTGAGCTGCAGCCTTTCTGTACTTCTCCAAGTCCTCCTGCAGTGACTGTCGCAGAACGCCTGATCTGCTTTTAACTGATGATCCAGGATGTGGCTTTCGTTTTGCATCGTTTCCCCAGAAGAATTCTGGATATAACAAAATTGATGCAATAAAAAGGTCAGGCAGGAAGCCCCTTAAACTCTTGTTCTGAGAGGAAGAGGTTTTGCAGGCCTGATCAAACAACACCGGAAAGTCAGTCCAAGCCAAGGGCACGTTGCAGAATAGGCTTTCCCCTCTGTTGCTGTTCGTTCCTTTGCCCCAGCCTAAGATGGTGCTGAGGTGGAGCCCTGAGTCAGTCCAGAAATCCTGATTCGGGACCCTCTGCTGGTCCTGGTGCCCACCTCCACACATGACACATCCAGTTCTGTAGCCGTCTTCTCACTGTTACTCAAGTTCTGTTGTGGAACTCTCCGTGCATCAAGTCCCGTCAGCTTCCAGGCACTACTATCTCCTCCTTCGTGCCCACAGGACCCCTCCAATCTGCAGGGCAAAGTCCAGAAGCATCAAGCTTTCGAAGCCGAGCTCTCCGCCAACCAGAGTCGCATCGACGCCCTTGAGAAAGCCGGGCAGAAGCTGATCGATGTCAAGCATTACGCTTCCGAGGAAGTGGCGGCTCGCATGCACGAGGTGATCAGCTTGTGGAAGAAGCTGCTGGAAGCCACCGAACTGAAAGGTAAGACTCACCAGGTGGGAGAGGACCTTATTCTAAGGAAAAGCTGGAAGGTGTGGCAGAGGAATCGGACCTTGGTGCTCTCGGCCGAGGGTCCCCTCCAGCCCTGCCTGGATGGGACCAAGGGCCTTCGTGTGCCATGCGCGTATCTTGCCAGCGAGCTGCAGGCCTGCCCCGGGTACGATTTGAACACCTGGGGCCGCTGTGCCAGGAGATAAGTGCAAAGTAAACTCTCCCCTCTTCAGGGATCAAGCTGCGGGAGGCCAACCAGCAACAGCAGTTTAATCGCAATGTGGAAGATATTGAGCTGTGGCTGTACGAAGTGGAAGGGCACCTGGCTTCGGACGATTACGGCAAAGACCTCACAAATGTTCAGAACCTGCAGAAGAAGCACGCTCTCCTGGAAGCAGACGTCGCTGCCCATCAGGTGCGACTTCCGCCTTCCTTGTCCGGAGAAGCCCCGTCCGTTCGTTATTTCCAAGCCCGAACGAGCAGCATTGTCACTCAGTGGGCTTGGAGGTCCTGAGCCCTTTTTGTGGCTTTTGAACTCTCGTTAGAAGCTCAAAAGCCAGACCCCCTCTGTCTCCAGAGTAAATTTCAGAATGTGCCCTGCCTGGTTTCAGAGGTAAGTTTAATTATTTAATGGCAGATCAGTGCATATTAAACAGCAGTTCAGTCTGGTTTTTGGGTTCGAAGTAATCAGCAGATGGGAATTTTCCCAAGGACCGTCTAGCATCACTTTTATATTTCAGCACAGCAGCTCCAAATATGGATCACCATCTCTACCTGACGTATTAAATAATAGTCTAGTAACTGGTTTCTCTACTTCCGTCCGCCTAAGCCTCATTCGAGGACTTAAAGATTCTGGTACAGAAATTTGAGGGGGAATTTCCTCAGTCTCGAAGAAATGAAACCCATTCTTTCCAAAAGTAGTATATAATCAACCAGTAGCTCAGTTTCAGACAACATACCAGACCATAATTTGTGGAACCCTTTGTTTAAAACCAAAACCAAGTTTTGAGTTTCCCAACAAAATACCAGCAGGGCAAAGTTCAGGACTGCTTTTCTGTTTTCATTTTATGTCCTCTGTGTCACTTCTAATGCAGACATCATGCACATTGGTACCGAGGGCGAACCACTGGTTCACAAAACCTACTACTGCCCCCCCAAAAATTAAAATAAAATAAATTGAGTATAGTTTGTCATTGGATTGCAAACCTATGGTCTGCCAATTCAGATAACATGACAGACCACAATTAATCTTCCTCAGCTGTGCTTAGTGGAAAGTCTGACTTGATTCAGGGTTTGGGATCTCTGTAGCAGAAAACAGTACACAACTGGCCTTTTATTTTTTGATACAATTCCATAGCTTGCTTAATAATTATAAAAGCAGAAAGTCAGGTTCCGAACTGCATTTGCTTCCACGTTCTCCATGTGCTGCTCAAGACGAGGTCGAGATAGAAAGCATCCCACGGTGGGGCTGCTTGAATCTCCAAGGAAGCCTGCTGAGATCTTTATATTGAATTACCTCTTTCAGGACCGAATCGATGGCATCACCATCCAGGCTCGACAGTTCCAGGAGGCGGGACACTTTGATGCAGACAACATCAAGAAGAAGCAAGAGGCTTTGGTCACACGCTACGAAGCGCTGAAGGACCCCATGGTGGCGCGTAAGCAAAAGCTCGCGGACTCGCTTCGCCTGCAGCAGCTTTTCCGCGACGTCGAGGATGAAGAGACGTGGATCAGAGAGAAAGAGCCGATCGCCGCGTCCACCAATAGAGGTTCGTGTGCAGTGGAAGGTCCTTGCGAGTTGCTGAAGGAGCAGTTCTGCTCACGGGCTTTACCCAGCGTTGATCCTCCTAAGAGTCAAGTCCACTGAGATAAAGGAAGTTGAAGTCGGTCTGATATGGAGTCCAACGCCAGTTGTCCGCAGTCCTCACAACCATTTAGACCTGCTTGTTCGAAGTAGAATTCATACCCTGCCTTGGGTGCCATTTCCTGACGGGCTCATTGAGCCGATAAAAACCAATTTATACTGGCAATATGTTTATATTGGCTATTGATCTGAACTACTACTTCTATCTAGCCTCACTGGCTGCCCGTGGAGGAACTGAGTGTCATTTTTCAGCTGTGGGAAGAGCTCCGAGACCCGCCCTCCCTCCCTCCCTCCCTCTGTGTGTGTGTACATGTACAGTTGTGTGAATTGTAATAGATGTTTCCTAGCCATCACTTTCATTCAGGAGCTGTACTTTTTGGGATGGCTGACTGAGCAAGATCCTGCTCTCTCTCTCTCTCTCTCTCTCTCTCTCTCTCTCTCTCTCTCTCTCCCTCCCTCCCTCCCTCCCTCCCTCCCTCTCTCTCTCACACATTTAGGCAAGGACCTGATCGGGGTCCAGAACTTGCTGAAGAAGCACCAAGCCCTGCAAGCAGAAATCGCGGGCCACGAGCCCCGCATTAAAGCCGTCACGCAGAAAGGAAATGCCATGGTCGAGGAAGGTGCGTCTGAATATCCATGTACACCTTTTCTCAAAACCAGAGCGAGTGCGTCTGTGTGCGCACACGGAGATCATCGTCATCGTTCCAACTGCAAATGCTACTCAGATGACGGTGCCAGGTGTGATCTTCCAGGAATCGGCATCTTGTATGTGCTGATGTTGGGGAGCAACAACGGAGTAGCAGCGCCCCGAGCGCCCTGCGACTCTGTCATTATTTTCCCCGCGTGCGTGTGCCCACGGGGGCCCCCAGGCGCGAGTCCTTCCCGCAGTTTCCTCCAGGGGGACTCTCATGAGGCAAAGGATCGTGCTGTGGGGTCTTTCGCTCCCCGGGACTCACCTGGAGCCCACTTCCTGCTACACAGGGCACTTTGCCGCCGAGGACGTGAAGGCCAAGCTGGACGACCTGAACCAGAAGTGGGAGTCTTTGAAAGGCAAGGCCTCCCAGCGCCGGCAGGACCTGGAGGACTCCCTGCAGGCCCAGCAGTACTTCGCCGACGCCAACGAGGCCGAGTCTTGGATGAGGGAGAAGGAGCCCATCGTGGGCAGCACGGACTACGGGAAGGACGAGGACTCGGCCGAGGTATGGCATGGCCGGCACGTGCCAGCCCATTCCGACAGTCCGAAGCACGGCTCTTGGGGCGCCGTGAACGGTACGGTGGTCTTGAGAATACCTTGAGAAAGCTGTCCATTTGCGGCTGGGAAAGGACGTGCCGCACTGATCCGCAACGCTAGCAGAATTCTTCGTAGTGAACCAGTCCCGAGCAGGTAGCCTTCAGCGTGTTTCTGCCACTGGTGGGGAGAGGCTGCAGGAAAAATGGAGGGGGGGGGGTTTGCCAGTAATAATGTGCTATTTGTGTTCTTAGTTAAAGAAACTTTCAGTACAAGGCGGGGGAGAGAACATGCCGCCTTCCCCAGCCTGCTGTCGGCCAGATGTTTTGGGTTCCCTTCAGCCCCTGCCAGCATGGCCACTGGTCAGGGAACACGGTGGGCCTGAACATCTGGAAGCCACCAGGCTGGGAAAGGTGGTGACAGAGGATGAAGGGAAGGTGCGGGTAAGCGGGACAGATTTGCCTTCGGTGAGGTGCGCTTTGTCCCCATCCCCTGCCGAGTCTGGCAGTGTGGGTCGCACCGAAGGTTTTGTGGGGATCTGGCCTCGGAGGACGCGGAACGTGGCTTCACGGAAGGTTCCTGGTGTCGGGGCGGGCAGCTTGCCCCTCCAGGGCCGGCTGTGCTGCAGATGCCGGCAAAGGCATCCTTGCTGCCTCGGAAGGGGCTCTCGGCTTTAACAAGACGCTCCCTGCAGATCCTCAAGCGTGCCTGGCGCCCAAAGCTGCGCTGTTTCTTTCGACGTGCCAGAAGCCCCAGGGAGGCGTGCCGGCAGCAACATGCGTTTCATTTCTTGCCCGCAGGCTCTTCTGAAGAAGCACGAGGCCCTGATGTCCGATCTCTCCGCCTACGGCAGCAGCATCCAGGCACTGAGGGAGCAGGCGCAGGCTTGCCGGGTGAGAAGGAGCAGCTGCTCGAAGGCCCACGTCTTCCATTCAGGGTGGCGCGGCTCCTGGCCCTTTGCACAGGAAGCTCCTTCCGGCTGCAGTGGGGAACCTGCCGCCCCCTGTCTGAGCTCATGCAGCCTTCAGAACCACTCGATTCTTTTGACACTGCGGACCCTTGCCTGTCCCCAGTCTGCCCCCTGCAGGGAATGAACACTCAGACGGGAAGGTTTATTTGGGAAAGGTCCGTGCCCCAGGGAGTCAAGTCAAGCTTTGTTGTCTTTAGCCAGAGGCCACTGCAAATTGTACAAAAAACCTAGCAAAGAAGCCAGTGTTAAGAGCGTGGGACTGGGACTCAGAGACCTGGGTTCTGGTCCCCACTCAGCCATGGAGCCAACTGGGTGACTTTGGGCAGTCACAGACTCTCAGCCCGGCCTACCTCACAGGGTTGTTGTTGTGGGGATAAGATGGAGGAGGAGAATGATGTAAGCGGCCTTGAGCCCTTTGTAGGAAAAAGGCAGGATATAAATATAAAGGCAGGATATAAAGGCAGGATATAAATTGGGGGGGGGGAGTGCCCTGATGAACTTCTGAGGAGCAACAGCTAAGCAGAATCCTTTCACCTGCCGTGAAACCTTTGCTCTCTCTTGGCAGCAACAAGTAGCTCCCACCGATGATGAAACTGGCAAGGAGCTTGTCCTGGCTCTGTACGATTATCAAGAGAAGAGTCCCCGGGAGGTCACGATGAAGAAAGGAGACATTCTCACCCTGCTGAACAGCACCAACAAGGTAAAGCGCCCCGTGCCAGTGAGTCCAGGCCTCTGTCTCAGGTCCTGGGCATTCAGCTGTGATCCTCATCCATTTGGTGTTCCAGACATTTTTGGTGGTATAAGCTTTAGTTCTCGGTGGGCAGTTGCGTTGCCAGGATTGCTGAGAGAAATACGGTAAACATTTCTCAAAACGATGTGCCAGAACAGACCGTGTTTGGGGCTCTTCCTTGTGTTGGTTGTAGCACAGCTGCTGCTTTGAAATATTTGGTGAAACCCCTCAGAAGCATAACCACCAGCTTCTGAGTTTCCCCGAACTCTACATGCTCAGTGTTAAGACAACAGCAGAGGCGAGGAGAGCGGAAGGTGCTGCTCGTATCAGGCACAGCGGAAGGTCCGCTGCCCATTTAGAAGCCATCTTGCATTCTCCTGCCCTGCGTATTTACCAGATCACGGCAATATTACGTCATCAGGAACAGAAGGAATTCTGCTGTGCGCTAGCATCTTCCTCATCCCCCAGATAGTTTGTCCCAGGGTGAAAGAGACATAAGGTGGAGCAGAACCCCTCTTCCTAGGCATGGTGGGTGACACTTTCAACTCCAACTTGCGATCCACCGTCCCTTCCTCTCCACACTTGGACAAACCTTCAAATTACATAATGCCAGGTTAATGGACCACATCTGTGGGACGTTTAATTAAGGCTGCGTCTTTCTTTTCCTCCAGGACTGGTGGAAAGTAGAAGTGAATGACCGCCAGGGGTTTGTCCCAGCTGCCTATGTGAAGAAGTTGGACCCCGCACAGTCCGCGTCCCGAGAGAACCTGCTAGACGAGCAAGGCAGCATCGGATTGCGGCAGGAGCAGATTGACAACCAGTAAGATCAGGCTAGCAGGACCCAGAGTAAAGCGCAGCGCTTCGGAAGAGATTTTCCTGTTTGCTGTCTTTGCCAAGGAGTTTAGATCGCCAGTTCCTAGTATTTTCAGCATCCGGTTCCACTGAGCTGCATTTCACATTCTTTTCCTTTATTAACCCATTCACTTCCTGACTTCAGACATTTCTTGCTTCTTTCCGATTTTCTGCTGTTAAAGACAGTGCTCCATTCCTGACCTGTGTTGTCTGTTCAGTTTACTCTCTGGCATGTTAGCTCTGCTTGTCTGTGTCTTAACGGTTCCACCTATTTTAGCCCTCAATAGCACTTGCTTGTAACTGTAGCTCCCAGATTTTCTTAGCATGTGATTCTGACTGAGATGCCTTCTTAAATCTAGTACAGTACGGTTCCCTTGCAGGGCTGCCTCTGGGCAAGGAGTGGACAGGAAATGTTCCTCTTTTCTTAGTTAAAAAAAAAACCAAAAAAAACCAAGCTGTAATTTGCTGTGAAAATAAGCACACGAGAAGCTTCATTAACTGCCCCTGCTGTAAGGCAGAGCAATCTCTGAGAGAAGGCAGGGACCTCCAGATTGGAAGGGCCAAAGCTGCACTGGGTTTGGTGCTTCCCCCCCCCCCCCCCCCCCTTGGCTCCTCTGCTCTCGGAGAGCGTCTCATCCAGTGCCTCGTTTCTGGGACTGGCCGTTAAATGGGACGCCGTTGACTGGCTTTGACAACCGGACGTGAAAACCGAGCGATGGGAGAAAGCATTTTTGCTCTCTTCCGACACACGTACTTACTCCTGGAGCATGTGATGCAGCTCCCAGCTCACACCCAACAATGCATAGTCTGTGCTTACTGTTTTCATTTGTCTCCGTATATGAGGACATGGAGCCCTGTCCTTGAATATCTGTCCTCTTCGGAGCACCCTGTTTTGTTCCTGCTCTGTAACGGTGAGCTTGAGATCGGCAGGACTCCCCAGTCAAATTGCAGGCTCCAGGAGCTGAAAGCCACGCCATGGCGCTGTAGCCGGAGCCGAACTGTACCGCTGGCCTGATGGTTCCAATCATGTCTACCCGTGTGCTTGGCTCCTCTTTCCCATTGCATCTGTGTGACACCCCCACCCCGCTGTTTTAAATGTCCTGTTCACTTCCATTGTCCCTCATGAACGATCTCCAGGCGGAGTCTCTGCCTTCCTTTAAATTTTTAATCGGACTAATTTTTTTGCATGCTCTCTGCTGTGCTCCCTCTGTCTGTGCAGGACTCTCATAACTAAGGAAGTCGGCAGTGTATCTCTGCGTATGAAACAGGTCGAAGAACTGTGAGTAGGCTTGGCCTTCTGTAAACTGTGCTGTCTCCAAACCTGGGCCTCCTGCTTTTCCCAATGTCTCCTGTCGCTTTCTGTGTCCATCTGGGGCCGCCCTCGTCAGGGGGCTGGCGCGATTCAGCACAGTTGCTCTTGCAGAAGCTGACCTGGGTTTAACAGTCTTCATAGTCTGCTCCTTGTCTGTTGTCTTCTGCTGAACTAGGTGTGCCCTTTTTGATGCAAATAAAAAAAGCTGCTGGGCAGCGACGCTGGTTCAAGGCTGGAGGAGAGAAATGGGAAATGTCTAGGCAGCGTTAGCTGCTGACGGGGGATGGGCGTGCTTTGGCATGCCGCCCCCTGTGCTAGTGCAGGGCTCAGGGTCTCGGTTGCTTCCTTCCGATTCGTCTCAAGTCAGGCACTAGGCAAATGAGAGATGCTGCGTTTCATCGCCTGTTTTGGCTGCCAGAATTTTTCTCCCAGCATTTAGTAAGACGAGATGGTCTTCTTCGGAACCTTTGCTGGCCTTCAAACAGCAGCAAGAGCATAAAAATGTTTTAATAAATAAATAAAATAATAAGAGCACACCTCCAGACCCTGCTGGCTAGCTGGAGGCAGGCCGTCAGGAGAGCTCTGCCGTGCCTGTCGCTGTCGGAAAGGGAATAGAGCCCCCAGTCTTCCTCCGTGATCCGCTTCGGAATGGGCAGCTTGTGCTCCTCTGTGGGGGGCGCAGGCAGGCACTCGGGAAGCGCATGAAAAGAGGGGCCTTCCCCTCGCACGTTGTTCCATTCACCTGGCGGAGGTGTGCCGGGCTGCTTTCTCAGGTTTGGGGCGGGGGCTTGGGTGGCTGGGATCTGTTGAGAACCAGTTCTCGTCCGTGGATTTGGCAGGCAGCTGGCCTCCGGGCATTCAGGGGACGTGCAGGCATCCCCGTTTGACAGTGGCCCCCACAAACGTAAAGCGTTCTGGGTTTAAAAGAGCCAGAGGGGGGCAGCCCTTTACACAGTGGTGTTCCTGATCTCACGCTGGGACAACCATTGGGAAGAACTGGGCCATTCTCACATTTTCAGTTTTGCTAGTTAGTGTGGGAGCCGCTAACCTGTCCAACCTGCTTTTCTGGTGTCCCATTCCACCCAGCACCAAGTTTTGGGAGCTCTGCTGCTTTTTACAGGGCGTCCAGGGTGTCTTTGCTGCCAAGAATTTTGGCAATCCAGACTTGGCCCGAGGAAACTGGTTGGTCATCCAGGCAAGCCGTGCGAGGCGTCTTGCTTTATGCAGCCATGTTAGCAATGTTCCTGTAAGAAGAGTTCGTTTAATCCGGGAGTTCTCTCCTGACTGATGTCGGAAAAAGATATGCTTTTGCCTGTGAAGTTTAATCTTGTGTTTAGTTTGCATCAAAAGGAAAGCGCTTTTTCAGAAAAACCATTTGCCGATCGAAAAGCTCAGTCTTTCTAGCTGGCCCTATTCCCTTCTAACATGACTTGATGTCATTGAGGGCAGGACTGGGACACCAGTAGCTTTTCCAGAGAGTGGCGAGGGATGGCGGCAGCGGTCGTCCTGCAAGATTCGAAGGGCTGCGCTTGTCCCTGCAGGCCCAGAGTCCCTCCAGCTGTTGTTCTGTGCCGCCTTGTCTTTCCGCAGCGTCTCTGTGGCCGCAATTCGGAACGGCCGTTCGCTTTGCCTCTCCTCGCTCCGTTAGCCCGGTTTGTCTAGAGGCTTCGTTTCCTCGCCCCGGCTTGTGCAGCGTCTGTGGAAGCCTGCGGCAGCCGCGGCGGTCTGGTTCTGCAGAGCAGTGTGAGGCCTTCCAAGGCCTCCCTTCTCCCGTCTCTGCAGCTGCCGCGAGCCCACACTGAACCACGGCTGTGTATTTGGGGCGGACTCGGGCACAAGCTGACTCCCCCCCCCCGGCCCTCCCCTCTGTCTTCCAGGTACCACTCCCTCCTCGAGCTGGGGGAGAAACGCAAAGGCATGCTGGAGAAAAGCTGCAAGAAATTCATGTTGTTCCGAGAGACGAATGAGCTGCAGCAGTGGATCAGCGAGAAGGAGGGCGCCCTCACCACCGAGGAGGTCGGAGCAGACCTGGAGCAGGTGGAGGTGCTGCAGAAGAAATTTGATGACTTTCAGAAGGTGAGTTTGGACCGACAGAGCGGCTGGAGGAGGGCTGGAGGATCCGATTCCGACGGATGCGGCTCCTCCAGGGGTTCGGGGGAAAGTACACCTTCTAGCAGGAGATCTGGCGAGGTGGCAGCGGTGTCGGGAGGGCTGTGCTTGAAGGCCCGATGGCGGGCGATCGCTGCTTCCTGGCATCATTTTTATTCAGTGGGAATTTGCTGTCCCGTCTAGGACCTGAAAGCCAATGAGTCACGTCTGAAGGACATAAACAAGGTGGCCAGTGACTTGGAATCGGAAGGGCTGATGGCCGAAGAAGTGCAGCCAGTCCAGCAGCAGGTCAGTTCCATTTCTCTAATAAATGGCCATAATTATAAATAAGAAGAGAGGTCCGCCTGGCGCCGTTGTTATTTGCTTTTCGGCGCCAGGCTAAGACCTTTCTATTTCAACAATATTTTAACAACTCTTAATAATATCTGTAGGTTTTAATTCCGCAGCCAGGGTGATTCTGGGTTTTTAATTATATTATTTTATTGTGTATTCTGTTTATTATTTTATGTGAGCTGTCCCGAGGCGATAAGTGATGGGACGGCATACAAGTTCTGAATGAATGAATGAATGAATGAATGAATGAATGAATGACAAGCAGGCTTAGAGCTGCCTGGAAACCATTCATTGATTCATGGCGCTGAAGCTCCTCAGGTTTTGAGTGTTCTGGAGACGCCACTTTGTGCCTGAGCCTGTTGCAATGGTCACCTCTGACTGGTGGGGAAGATCTCGGGGGTCTCCGGCAGAGCTAGGGCTTCAGCACCACCTGCTGCCTTTTTACCTGGAAATACCAGGCCTAAAACCTGGCGAAGCACCCCCCCCCCGCAGCTTTCTAGAGGCAAAACATGCCCTCTGCCCCGAGCTGCGATCCTTCCCCAGAGAGGCGGCATTGTCCCGCATTATGCAATATTGTCCTTCGGGATTAATCTTCGCATCAGTACCAGCGGTAACACGGTTTCTGTCGCGAACACACATTTCATGCTCCAGTATGAAAGCACAATAAACAGGGAGCATCGCTTTCATGACATGCTAAAAAGGGGGCTCCAGATCTCCTTGAGTTTTGTGTCCTGCCATCACGTCTTACTCGCCCGCAAACGAGAGAAAGCGCTTAACTCTGGAGCTACAGAGACTGGAGCTACTCCAGGAAGGGTTTCATCTTATCTCTGGTTTCCAAGCACTCTGAATACTTGAAACATTTGCAGTGCCGGTCTCACTGGTTTCTGCTTGCTGCTCAGAGTTCTGCATGGGTCCACAACATGAGAAGTCCTGTTGCTGTAACAGCTAATGACCTTGTTGGGATGTTAAGACTTTGCTTGTTGCTTATATGGCTTTGGGCATGCTTTGGAGCTGTGACAGAGCTCTGTGTTCGTATCTTCCTTTATTCCCTCACACACTAATTAATGCAAACATACTGTTCTTTCTTGCAGGAAGTCTATGGGATGCCACGGGTAAGCATCTTCTCCAGTTCTTAGTCTTTGTCCAGTGCTCTTTAAAAGGGACAGGATTAGGGTCTTGAAGACAAACCTGCACAGCCCACGGCGTTCCTTTGTGGCCTTTGGAATTTGCCTGTTGAGGGCGTCTGTCCTCACTCGAGGGGGGTTGTCCGGAGACGGGTTGCTTCTCCTCCTTCAGTAAGCCAGGCTGTGCCAGTCCATGGAGAGCGCTCCGTTTCTCTTGCGGGAGCCTCCCTCCTGCTCTAGTCCAGCCTGCATTCTTCTGCTCCTTCATTCTGCTTATGAGGCTGGATAGTTTTGACTGACGACCAGGATATTTCTCCTTTTCTGTTTTATTTATATCCCACCTTTTGTCACAAAGAGCCCAGCATGACTTCCATAACCCTCTGTCTTGCCCTCACAGTAATTCTGTGAATAAGTTAGGCTAAGAATTAATTTAATTTAATTTAATTTAATTTAATTTAATTTAATTTAATTTAATTTAATTTAAACATTCATATGCTGTCCTTTGCCGCAGCCTCAGGAACTTACAAAAATACCAGTCTGCATACCAATATAATACTATAAATAGCATTAAAAACATTCCACAATAAAACAAATTAACCACAATATGTCCTCTCCTAATTAAAAAAAGAAAGAAAAAAGAAAAGAAAATGAAGAGGAAGACGCGACTGTATACAACCAATGTTATTATTAAAATGATACTAGTTATTAAAATGATGGTTAAATAAAAAAGTCTTTACCTGGCGCCAGAAAGAGTAGAGAGTTGGCGCCAGGCGGACCTCTCTGAGGAGCGCATTCCACAGCCTGGGCGCCACTGCAGAGAAGGCCCTCCTCTGAGTAGACACCCTCCTTACCTCCTTCAAAGAGGGTTCCCGGAGCAGGGCCTCCCCTGCCAATCCTACGGGGCACGAAGGAATATGGGGAAGAGACGTTCCTTCAGGTATCCTGGCCCCAAGATTTGACGACTGGCCCCAGATCACCCAGTGAGTTCAATGGCTGAGTGGGGACTAGGACCCCCGGATCCCTCAAGCCCCCAGTCCAACACTCTTAATATCAGCCTTCATTATTGCTCGAGCAAGAAAATAAATTACAGCAGTTTTAAAAAGGAATTATCCTCGTGTTGGATGGGGTTGTTCTTACGTGGCGTCAAATCGTCTCCATCTTACAGCCCTCCGAAAAATTCTATCTGGGCAGCCCTGGTCAGATCTTGCAAATTCAAGAGCGTTGCTTCCTCGATGGGTCTTCCTTTGCTTCTGTTGCCTCAACTTCCCGTAGCACGATTGTCTTCTCCAGGGAGTTTTGCCTTCTCTCGAAGTGCCCAAAATATGGCCGTTTTGTCCGTTTCACTTCTCGAGTTGGACAGTTGCTTTTTAAATAATGGCTTGTCGTTTTCATTTGGTTATGTGTTCCTGTCTCACTTTTCCTGTCTGTTTTTTTTTTCCCAAACAGGATGAAGGTGATTCCAAGACAGCATCTCCTTGGAAGGTAAGATCTAGTCTGACAGTTCAGGGAAGCAGCATCAGTTTTGCTCATGCAAATATTTTGCGCTGGAAGCAAGCAGTCTCCTGGCCTTTGTTCAAAACTTCACCTGGATTTTAATTCTTGGAAGTGTAGAAGTAGTTTCATCCCACATAGTGGGATAACATGTTGCTTTCTTAAGTATAAGACAGTGGACATTAAAAATGACTCCCTGTAAAGATCTCAAATTTATTATGAAAACCAAATGACACAGAGTTGTGTGCTTCTGGGAATCATAACTTTAGAAGCATTTATAAAAGCTGTCCATTTAACCCTTTTCCAGCTACTTTGAGGATTTTAAGAACTTGGAGCCAGCCGAACTGTTTTCTGTCGGGCATTGGGTTGTTAATATGTGCGCATGTAGGAGAACAGGTTTTGTAGCACTCTTGGCTGGCTGGCTGGCTGGGGTTGTTTAAAAATCTGGGGCTTTCTTCTCCTCCTTCATCTAGTCTGCAAGACTGATGGTGCACACCGTGACAACTTTTAACTCCATCAAGGTAAGACCAGGTGCGGGGTGGTCCGTCCTGCTGGAACTCGCCAGGTCTCTTAAACACTGCGCAGCCGCTTAACCCAACCGTCCAGGTGTGTTCACCACCTCCTGCCACAGGCCAGGCCAGCTCAGGTGGAGAGGAGCTGGGCTTCAAAACATCTGGGTGATGGATGCCCTGCTGGGAAAGGTTGCCCTGACCCGTCTCGGAGATGAAATGTTCCGGCAGCAAGACGGTGCTCAGCACCCAGCCTTCCCCAGCCCGCCCTCCTGGGAGCCATGCAGCCCTTTCTGCTCAGGGCAGAAGATCAAGGCTTTTGTGCCTCGAGCAGGCTGGTCGCTCCCTCTCCCCACCCTCCTTACTTTTCCAGTTACGGCTCCTTAAACCTTCTGTGGCTGGATGGCGATCCGCCACTGCCACGGTTGCACAATCGGCCTGACTTCCAAGTCCGGCCGATCCGCCAGCACAGGCGGAAGCGAGGGCCGCCCCTGCAGAACAGTGGAGGAAGCCCAGCTCCCGTGTAGCTGTGCCACAAGCAGGCGCTCCTGCGCGTGACGCGGAAAGTCAGCCTGGATGCTCTCTCCCCACGAGGTGCTTGAGATCTTTCCCATCCACGCGTGTGATAGTCTGTTGGCCCCGGAGCCATTCTGAGGCATTCTCTCTCTCCCGCCCCCCGCACACGGATGCACACGGAGGGTTTCTTGACACAGTTTTTCTTTTAATTGACAAACGCCCGTGCTTCCGCATGCCGAGGACGTCCTCCAGGCGTGTAGGAACCAGCTGCCTCATTCTTGGTGGTGCTCTTAAGAGGGAACGATCGTCCCGAGCACCATTCTTCTCTCTCAGAAACCTTTACAGTCACTTGATGCCGCAGTAGCCATGTGCTTTTCAAAGCGTCTTCGGCATAGTTTGCAGGCCACTCTGGGCTCCATCACGAAGCCCTCCTTCTGCCTTTCAGGAGCTGAATGAGCGCTGGCGGTCGCTGCAGCAGCTGGCGGAAGAACGGAGCCAGCTTTTAGGAAGTGCCCATGAGGTCCAGCGGTTCCACAGGTAAGGGGCTGGGTCCCTTGAAGCTGCAGGTGGCGCCAGTTGGCCAGTCCCCACTTGCTGACTGGGCAGCCTGAGCCATCGGCCAGAAGCCTGAGCATCATGCGCTAAAGCGCTTGTGCCAGTCCTTTCTAAACCGTTAGGGCAGCGTAAGACCAGCCTTCCCCAACCTGGTGCTGCCCAACGTGCTGGGCTGCCCCCCCACTGTCCGTTGCCTGCCTTGCAGAGATGCTGATGAGACCAAGGAGTGGATCGAGGAGAAGAACCAGGCCCTCAATACAGACAACTACGGGCACGACCTGGCGAGCGTCCAGGCCCTGCAGCGCAAGCACGAGGGCTTCGAGAGAGACCTCGCCGCACTTGGCGACAAGGTCAGATCATGGGGTTGGCGAAACGCCCTCTTCCGGGAGGCCGGAAGCCTCGCTCTCGTTCTAACGGCTCTCCCCTCCTGCTTCGGCACGCCAGGTGAACTCCCTGGGGGAGACCGCGGAACGCCTGATTCAGTCTCACCCCGAGTCGTCGGACGACCTCCAGGAAAAGTGCACTGAGCTGAACCAGGCCTGGAGCAGTCTGGGGAAACGAGCCAACCAGCGCAAGGAGAAGCTGGGGGACTCCCATGACCTGCAGCGCTTCCTTAGCGATTTCAGGTTTCTCGCCTCTCCCATTCTTTGAAGGGTGAAACGGGCGTGGGTTGAGCAAGCCCTAACGGCTCGACTCACCATGTTCCAAAGCTGAGGATGCCAAGCCCCTCTTTCTTATCCCGCCTTTCCGTCTGCCCAGAGACCTCATGTCTTGGATCAATGGCATCCGCGGGCTGGTCTCCTCCGACGAGCTGGCGAAGGACGTGACTGGAGCAGAGGCCCTCCTGGAGAGACACCAGGTATGTGACCTGCCCTGCCACCAGGTGCTGCCAGTTCCTGGGCATGTGATTAGAGGAACCTCAGAGCAGCACTGCATCCCGTGCAGGCGCTCCTTGCCTTTGGCAGCTGACACGCAGAAACTCATCTTTGGGCAGGACTCTCAATCTTCCCAGGTTTCTCCTCGTCAGGCTGCGGGCGAATGGCTGGCCCAGAGTCACCCGGCGAGGCTTCCTTGATGACTACCTAGTGAACTGCTGCCGTAGCTTAATATCATGCGGTCCCCGTTCTCTCTCCCGTAGGAGCACCGCACTGAAATAGACGCCCGGGTCGGCACCTTCCAGGCCTTTGAGCAGTTCGGACAGCAGCTCTTGGCCCGTGGGCACTACGCGAGCCCGGAGATCAAGGAGAAGTTGGACATTCTCGACCAAGAAAGGGCCGACCTGGAAAAGGCCTGGGCCCAGCGCCGGATGCGGCTGGACCAGTGCCTTGAACTGCAGGTGTGGGGGCTTGCTTGAACCGCATCCCTTCCCACCGGGGTGGCAGTCACCCGGGACGGGCAGGCGCAGACGACTCTTCTCGTTCCTAGCCTGGAGGCAGGGCTGTGCGTGGCGCCGCCGCCTGCTCCCCTCTCGGGAAGGGCCCTCCCGGCTTTCCGTCCTGCCCGCTTCGAGGCTTTCCCAGCATTCCACCTCTGAGCTTTTCCTCAGTGGCCCAGCTTCAGCGCCTCAGTCGGACGAGCAAACAGGCAGGGCAGCACCAGCCGTGAAGACGGACAGAATTCCCCAGCTAGTTTCTGGCAAGGAGAGACGGGCCTCGCCGTCCAGGCATGTCCCACTTTCAGCTGCCCGGGGAAGCCTGTGCTCCTGTGTGAAAGAGAGACCCAGAGCTGCGTGCCAAGGGGGGCATCCACACCAGGCCAATGCTGACTTCCAGCCCCCTGGCAACAGGGCTGCCTCTTCGAAAGGGACGAAGCAGCGCGGCAGCGAGGAGGGGACGAGCGCGCTCAGGCCACGCGGTGTCACTCATAAGGGACTGTTTCCTGGCGGGCGGGAAGGGCTGCCCATCCTTCTGACATTTCTGCTTTTCGATCCAGCTGTTTCACAGGGACTGCGAACAGGCAGAAAACTGGATGGCTGCCCGCGAGGCCTTCCTCAACACTGAAGATAAAGGCGATTCCTTAGACAGCGTGGAAGCCCTCATCAAGAAACACGAGGACTTCGACAAAGCCATCAACGTCCAGGTGAGATGAGAGAGGAAGGGGACGGCATCCAGGTGAGCTGGATGCTATTACCTGATGCTTTTACAGGGGCATTTCCTTCTAGGTGTTGTTCGTGCTGCGTATTATGAACAATGCTGTTTTGACCCCACACGAGCTCACAGTACCTCTCAAACTGAGCCAAAAAAAGTCATGCGATAAACCAGATATCAAAAGCGCAGCAACGGCCATCAGGTTAAGGCCGGCAAGATTCTCAAGACGCATCCCGACACGCTACGTGTTGAAGCTATGCTGTTTTTTCATGTCATGTGAATGAGGAAGGGTCCAGCGAGGTGCCCCTGAGCCAGCAAATCACACGTTTGTACTTTTCTGCCCTGCCTCCCTAAACTCAGATGGTGGCAGGTGCATCACACGACTTTACCTGACAGTTGAAGCGTATCAGTAGATTTGTACAGGGCCAGCTCTGGCTCCCCAACTGTTTGGGGCTTTAAGAACGAAAAACAGCCCTTTGAAAAGTGTGTCCGGAACACACTGGGAACTGTTGAAGGACAGGACTGGTCCTGCATTGTCTGGAAAACCGACCCCATTAAGGACTCTGATCTCTGAAGACCTTCACAAAACGCACATCAGTTGTGTGTCCAGTGTACTTTGCTCTCAACATTTTTTAAGCAGGCCCTGCTGGGGTGGAGATTCTAGCCCAGGGAAAGACAAAATCTGCACTCCTGGTGATGCGAGGGGGCATTTTATTTTCCAAACAGTAGCGTGGGACCAGAATTGTATTTTGCCATAGATCGGTGTCTTTGTGGATGGTCCGATTCAGTAGTAAAAGTGGCTCCCCCTTGGAGAAAGATGGTTCTGAATTTGGAGCGCACCGTCTGGAGAAGAATCCCCACCGTTCTCATGGAGCAGTTCAGGCTGATGTCCTTTTGGCTTTGCAAGGTGGCCAAGGCGTTCCAAACTGGCTTTTCTCGTCCGCAGGAGGAAAAGATCGCAGCCCTGCAGTCTTTTGCTGACCAGCTGATCTCGGCTGACCACTATGCCAAGGGGGTCATCGCCAGCCGGCGCAATGAAGTCCTGGACAGGTTGGTGCGCTCACTTAATATTTTTAGTGGGAGGGTTTTAGACCCCCAGCAGATGGCGGGGGAGGGGGGCTCTTAGCAGGTGGAGACCGACTCGCTCTCACGGAGTCGCTTAATGATCCACGGGTGCCAACCGCGGCTCTGCTTGCAGGTGGCGTCGGCTGAAAGCGCAGATGATCGAGAAGCGGTCCAAGCTGGGAGAATCGCAGACCCTCCAGCAGTTCAGCCGAGACGTGGATGAAATAGAGGCCTGGATCAGCGAGAAGCTGCAGACCGCAAGCGACGAATCCTATAAAGATCCCACAAATATCCAGGTGAGACTCGTGTTTCCCAGCCAGTGAAGGTGACGCCTCCCACAGGTGGAATCACGCGGCATTCCTGACGGCGGGACAAATGCAGAGGTGGTCGCTATTCTGCAGGAAGCAAAGCGTGCTGGGAATTCCCTTCTACATAGGAGGCATTCACAGGTGGCATCGTAACAGAGGCGTGGCTTGGGCTTCTGAGTACCCAGGTGGGAAGTCCGAGGCTCATACTGGGCCAGGTGAGGCGGGGATCACTCTGTGGGCGCTCCAGGTGCACTCTAGGTGCCCTCTTCCCTGCTCTGCCCAGTGCCACTGGCTGTGCGGCACACGCATAGAGGACCCCAAACGACCTCGGAGGACTGGCTGCTCAGCCCGATCTGGGGCAGTGTGCAGTTACCTGCAGTTACACAAGTAGGAATCCCCCCTCCTTCCTCCCTCTCTCTCTTCCCACCTTCAGCTTTGATCAGTATTCTGTGGTCAGTAAGGATGCCCAGCCATTGCGCTCCTTTCCCTTTGTGGAGTGATCTTACCCTCAGAGTTTTTTTCCCTAAAGGGAAAATATATATATTTTTCTGCTTTGCTCTCTTCGGGACTCCCTCAGGCTCCCTTACGTGTGAGTGTTGCCAGTTTGGCTTCATAAGGGACTTACAGCCTGCACATCAGAAATAGGGGGTATTACTCTAGAGTGTACCCAGCAGAATGTTACCCAGAATTCCGTGTTAGAACTCCAAAGTGGCTTTTGCTCCCTTGGCACCAACACCCAAGCAATAAAATGGGAGTTGCTCTTTTTCCTTCTGGCAACCCCACCTTGCATCCAAGTTCTGTTTACCTTTCCGTGATGCGGGACTTTGTATTCTGGGGGATAAATTTGTTTCAGCAATTCTCAGAAATGAAATGAATGAAAGTAGCCTTATTTGGTCCAGTGTAAAATGCCCTGATCCTGCTCTTCTCTCTCAATCTGTTTTGTAGCTTTCCAAACTCTTGGTAAGTTTTAAAAGTTTGGCTTGGTATATGTTCATCCCTCTCCATAAATTACATGTGGACAGGAGGTTATCCTGTCTTTCCTTTTTAAGTACATCTCATCCACTCATCCGTTCGTTCATTCAGTCTTTTATTTTTACCAATCGCTGACTTTTTTTTTTGTCCCACTTATCTGACTTGCCATGCGGGTGTCGCTCTTGTTCAAGGTTTGTGTGTGTTTTGCTCTTGCTTTTGTAGCACCTCATCAGCATCACACCTAACATCTCCGTTTTAGCAGCCGCGTTCTGCATGCTCGGTTTCATTTGTTGCTGTGCTCCCAGCCCGTGTTAAGGGGGCCCTTGAGAAGAGGCCCAGGCACCTGGATGCAGGTTGATTTTTGACTCCTTAAAAGGAGTTTGTCTGAAGGTGGACAAAGAACAGTGGCAGATGGAACCTGAAATGGGACCTCAGCCCCACACTTTGCAATAACGGTCTGGGACTGTCTTGGCTGCAGGAGTGTGGCTTAACTTTGTTGAAAACGAGGGCAATGGGAGAGATCTTGAAGATAGCCCAGGGGTTCCGATTCTTCCAGATGTTTTAGGCGACAATTCCTGGCCCTTGGCCATGCTAGCTGGGCTGGCTGGGACTTGTTCAAAACATCTGGAGGGCACCAGCCTGCCTGTTGTGCCCTGGTTTCTTGGGAGGAGCCGGAGCACAGTGGCAGAATCTGCACAAGATCTGGGGCTCAGTTCCTGGCTTTCTGAGCGGCGCAGCTTCCTGTGGTCCTTGGGACCCTCTGCCGGGGAGCGCCAGTGGTGGGGTGCGAGGCTCCTCCAGCAGCCCCCGCCCCTTACCCTTGGCTAGAGGACAGCGCACACAAATGTCAGTGATTCTTGAAGGAAAAGTCATGTAACGAGCAGGCACGGTGCGGCAGGAATGTTCGGACAGGTCCCGGAAGACCCAAGCTGCATCTCCTCGGCAGCTTCGGCAACCCAGTTACTCCCTGGCTGTAAATTCTGCTGCTGAAATGGAGAAAGCATGGGGGCAAGTGGGAAGATGTTTGAACAGGAGGACTTTTTAGCGTCCTTCTGGTCTGGATCACCAATTGATTTCTGTGCTCGGTGGCACCCTGCCCCATAACGCACCCTGCCTGCCCGAGAGATGGTTTTGCTCCTGATTCTGGTGGGCGCCTCTCAGGCTTCCGGTGAAACATAAAGTCGACCCCACAAGCTCGGAGTCTTTTCTTCCTTGAAATACGTTGCCATTGCCGTTCAGGAGTAGTGAGCAGGCGGTCGGTCGGCCGCTCTTGAAACCCCTCCTGCACACCATGCCTCCTCCTCCTCCTCCTCGGAAGGTCCCCCACAAAACAGTTTTTCCGTAGAGGAGAACTGGCTGAGTGCATTACGATGGCGCGAAGGCACAGGCAGGGTTTGGCCTTTGTAGCATCCAGCACCTCGGCAGGGGAGTTCCAGGCGGGAATAGCCTCCAGCATGCCGGGCTGTTTCCTTTCTGTGGAAGATTTCCATCCTGTCCATCCATCTGTCCGCCCCTGCCCCACCCCGGTGAGAGCAGTTCAGGGGCCGTGGTGCTGGGCTCACGGGCTGCTGTTTCACTGCCACCAGAGCAAGCACCAGAAGCACCAGGCGTTCGAAGCGGAGCTGCACGCCAACGCCGACCGCATCCGAGGTGTCATCGACGTGGGGAACTCACTCATTGACCGAGGCGCCTGCGCAGGCAGCGAGGATGCCGTCAAGGTGGGTGCCGTCCTTGGGGGCGCGCTGCCCTTTGATCTGGCCCAGCCCTGACACAGTTGAAATAAACCTCTCCACCAGCATCCACGCTACGTAAGGCTTTGAGGATAAAAATATTGCTTTCTTTCATTTAATTTGTGTAAGCTGTTTCTTACCATTCAATTAGGCAGAACAGTGTGCAGAATATATATTCTGCACTTTAGGGTTATCCTTAACCCTAAAAGGTCCCCGAAGATAAAAAGCAAGACTGGCTTACAGTCTAAAAGACACAACAAAACAGGAAAGGGAATTCGGAAGGAGGAGGAAAAAGAGTAAATTCAGGCACTGGATTATTAGCGGTGGAACACATTTGACTCCAGAAGGACGTCCGCTCCCTCCCCCCTCTGAGAAGTGGGAGCTTCCCACAGGAGGGAGGGGTGCCTCCCCTCCCAAATTGTCCTCCTGAGCGAGCAAGGCTACCCCACATCGAGGCTGGTGCTGAACGCGAAGCGTCTGTGGCTTCCCTGACTTACTCCTGATCGCTGAAATCACAGGACAGGCACTTCCGTTGCTTTCAGAGGGCAGGTCTGGCCCTGCCACGGCCAGGACTCGGGGGGGGGGGGTGTCTCCCCCACTTTCCTTCCGAGCCTGAGCATGTGTCTTTGCCTCCCGTCAGGCCCGCCTGGCTGCTCTGGCTGACCAGTGGCAGTTCCTGGTGCAGAAATCAGCCGAGAAGAGCCAGAAGCTGAAAGAGGCCAACAAGCAGCAGAATTTCAACACGGGGATCAAGGACTTCGACTTCTGGCTCTCCGAGGTAACTCAGCCCTGGAGACCAGGGTGCCCATCTTCCCCAGCTTGGTGGGAGAGAAACGGAACCTGCATGTCTGTGCGCACCTGATGCCAAATCACCTCCCTTCTCCAGGTGGAAGCACTGCTGGCTTCCGAAGACTACGGGAAGGACCTGGCATCCGTGAACAACCTCCTGAAGAAGCACCAGTTGCTGGAGGCCGACATCTCCGCCCACGAGGTACCTGTCCTGCCCTCAGCTGCTCCAGGTGCAGATCCCCCACCCCGGGTTGCAGTGACGCCCGAACAGAGGCGAGCTGGCAGGCCACGTCTGTACAGGGCCACGTTGTGTGCCGAAGGCGGTGTGACGTCATGACGCCGTGTCTGCGCAAAGGCCCAAACCGCACCGGGGCTGAGAGGGAGGCCCCCCAAGGGAGGTCTTTGCCTCCCGAGCCCCACAGCCCCCCTTCGCTTCTGGTGCGTTTCTAGGACCGCTTAAAAGACCTGAACGGCCAGGCCGACAGTCTGATGACCAGCAGCGCTTTCGACACGTCTCAAGTCAAGGACAAGCGCGACACCATCAACGGGCGCTTCCAGCGGATCAAGAACATGGCCACCACCCGCCGCGCCAAGCTGAACGAGTCCCATCGGCTGCACCAGTTCTTCCGGGACATGGACGACGAGGAGTCCTGGATCAAGTACGCGCCTCGGCCGCGGTCACGGCTTCGTCTCCTTGCGGGGAAAATAAAACGGGGCCTGCGTGGACTTGTATTTCTGTAACACGCCTCCTTTCCCCCTTTGGTGTCCAGAGAGAAAAAGCTTCTGGTCAGCTCGGAAGATTACGGCCGAGACTTAACCGGCGTCCAGAACCTAAGGAAGAAGCACAAGCGCCTGGAAGCGGAACTGGCAGCCCATGAGCCGGCCATTCAGGTGTGCCAAGTCAGGATGCGGCTTCGAAGCATGCGGGGGGGGGCAGCGGGGGCCTTCCCGGTCTCACACACACACAGCCGGGCTCGTCCCTGGCATCAAGACTGCTTTCCCCACCTGGCAGGGGGTCCTGGACACGGGGAAGAAGCTGTCCGATGACAACACCATCGGGAAGGACGAGATCCAGCAGAGGCTGGCGCAGTTTGTGGAGCACTGGCAGGAGCTGAAGCAGCTGGCCGCCGCTCGGTGAGTAGGCGGCCTCCGAAAGCGGCCAGGCCCCGCTGCCTCGGGGTCTCCCCTCCAAGCGGCGTGAGAGCGGAGTAATCGGGGCGAGGGACCTCCAGAGGGGGGCCGGCGGGTCTTTGGAAGCCGGGAGCCGTCTCCCCAGTGGTGCAGGGCTCTCCTTCAGCCCTGGACAGGTGGAAAGGAAGGACGTGCCCCCAGCTGCTTTGGTGGACTTCCAAGGGCATAGCAGGAGCCTCTCGCAGCTTCCTTCCTGGCAGAGGTCCAGATGGGGAACCCACAGCGCGCTCCCACACCCCAGCCCCTGGGGGGCAGGGTGTGCTGCCTCTGACCCGGGGACCCCTCCCAGCCTCAGGGCACGTGGCCGAGGGCAGGCCTTCCCTCCGTGGCTTTCCCTTTCCAAGCCCTCTCACAGAAGCCGATGCTGTGCGGCCGAAAGCAGGCCGCAGCATCCCGCCCGGGACGGCAGGAGGGCCCTGTCGCCCGCGGCAAGGCCGGCCGGTTCCTGCTCCTGCTCCTGCACCTGCGGGTGGGGGGAGCTGTGCCTCGGACGGCTTGCGTGCAGACGGAGGGCAGCTTCCGGGTGCCTGCCTTGCAGGGGCCAGCGGCTGGAGGAGTCTCTCGAGTACCAGCAGTTCGTAGCTAACGTGGAAGAGGAGGAAGCCTGGATCAACGAGAAGATGACGCTGGTGGCCAGCGAAGACTATGGAGACACGCTTGCCGCCATCCAGGTGAGCCGCGGGCCACTCGCCTTCCGCGCAGCGCTTTCGGGGCCTGGGCGTCAGGTCCCGGCTTGCCCTCCTCTGTGGAGCCGGCGCACCAGCCCCTCCTGCGCCGTCACCCGTGTCCCCCGCACAACAGACCCGCCAGGTAGCTCGGCCGGGCCAAGCGGGGACCCGTGCCCGGCTCTCCCAGGTCCACGTTCCGCACTCTGCCTGTCCTGGTGCAGACCGTTTCGGCGGGGCCCCTGGCCCCCCCCCCCCCCCCCCGCCGCCCCGGAGCTGCCCGGGTACCAGGAACCTGCCTCCCTTGCAGGGCCTGCTGAAGAAGCACGAAGCGTTCGAGACGGACTTCACCGTGCACAAGGACCGCGTGAATGATGTCTGCGCGAACGGCGAGGATCTCATCAAGAAGGTGAGCTGAGCCAGGAGCACCGCGTGCTTCGTTTCTCTCGCCTCGCCTGACTGTGAACGATGCTCGCAAGGCAGCCCTGCATGCCTTCCGGCGGCTTACCCGTTTCTGCCAGCGCGCCTCGCGTCTCGGTCGCTCTGGGCGAGGACGGTGGCAAACTCATCCAGAGCAATGTGGGCACTCTTCCCTGCCCCCCCCCCATCCTCTGCAGAACAACCACCATGAGGAGAACATCACTGCCAAGATGAAGACCCTGAGGGGCAAAGTGTCCGACCTGGAACGGGCAGCGGCCCAGCGGAAGGCCAAGCTGGACGAGAATTCTGCCTTCCTCCAGTTCAACTGGAAAGCTGACGTGGTGGAGTCTTGGATCGGTAGGTGCTGGGAGCAAAGACTCGCGCCACCCCCCCCAGGCCTTGGCCGGAAGGGCGGCGGTGCTGCCGGCCGTTGTGGGCAAGGCACGCCTGCCCAACGGTGGGGGTGCTGCTCTTTGCCCCTTCGATGGAATGGGAATGGGTTCGGCGAGCCCGAGGGATCCCGCCCTTGACTGGAGACAGGGAGCGCTGGAAGGACAACGGCCCAGCATTAAAAGCGCCTTCCTAAAAGCAAAAGACTCTGCCGTACGGGCCCTTGTCCCGTCCTGGGAGGTGGGGTTGTCTGGCAGCCTCACCCACAAGTAGTTCCTGATCTTCGTGTCTGTGTTTTCGACCTTCTGCACTCCGGGAGCATGATTTCAAAAGGCCACGGAAATTTAGCTCTATATCCCGTGCTGCCGTGTCACAGTTGACTGGTGTATCCGGCTGTGGCAGGCAGCCTCAAGCTGCCTGGGTGTTTTGGGCTTCGGCCTGCAGAATTTCTGACACCTGATCTGCTGGCTGGGGCCAGTGAGGGTTGAAGTCCAAAACATCTGTAGCACAGCAAGCTGAAGAAGGCTGTCTTAAGGAGACTCTGCTTTTCGGTACTCGTCTTGCCTTATTCCTGTGTTAATAACTCTACCACAGAAACAAAAAATGAAAACCAAAAATATTAGAAAGCTAAAGCAAGACTGCCGCAAGAATGAGAACGGGGGGCTTATTCTGTGTGCTTATTTTTACGCCAGGCGAAAAGGAGAACAGCCTCAAGACAGACGACTATGGAAGAGATCTCTCTTCTGTGCAAACGCTCCTCACCAAACAGGTTGGTGAAAGCCAGGGGTTCTGTGCACGTGTGCGTCGGCCTCACAGGTGTGCCACCACACCTGGATTTCCCTGTCGGGGCGGACCTCACCTGTGCCTGTGCCTCTGCTTGTGTGCCAGGAAACCTTTGACGCTGGGCTCCAGGCCTTCCAGCAGGAAGGCATTGCCAACATCACCGCCCTGAAGGACCAGCTGCTGGCGGCCAAGCACGTCCAGTCCAGGGCCATCGAGGCCCGCCACGCCGCCCTCATGAACCGCTGGAACCAGCTGCTCGCCAATTCCACCACCAGGAAGAAGAAGCTCCTCGAGGCCCAGGAGCACTTCAGAAAGGTCCGTGAGGCAACCCGGGTGGGGCTTGTTCTGCATTCGCCCGCTTGCTGCCGCCGAGCAGACAGAAGGTTCTCCACCGGCCCGAGATGCCCACCCAGCCCCTCTGGCGCTCTTCCTTCCTTGCTGTGGAGCGCACCGGCTCGAAAAATACTTCTCTGCTGTGTGTGCACAAAGGGAAATAATCGGTGCCTTTCGTGGCCTTGGTCAGCAGCTCGCGTTGCCCCTGCTGGGATTTGGAGCCCAGCACAGCGGGAGGAGTGCCCGCACGGGGTGCCGCATTCAGGGGCCTCAGGAATTCTCAGGGCAGGAAGCAGGAAGCTTCTCTCCAGACACAGACCCCGAGGCGGGGGCACAAGGGGTGACTTTGCCGGGGAAGCTTTTCCGCGTGCCCCCCTCAGCGCTCCCCGAGGGACCTCCCAGCCCGGCCCCGAGCGGGTTGCGTTCCCCTGCTGAGCCTCGTGCAGCCTAAACCCCTCTCGTCTTTCCTCAGGTTGAAGATCTGTTCCTGACCTTCGCAAAGAAGGCGTCGGCCTTTAACAGCTGGTTCGAGAACGCCGAGGAGGACCTGACGGACCCCGTGCGGTGCAACTCGCTGGAGGAGATCAAGGCGCTGCGCGAGGCCCACGATGCCTTCCGTGCCTCGCTCAGCTCCGCCCAGGCCGATTTCAACCAGTTAGCTGAGCTGGACCGCCAGATCAAAAGCTTCCGCGTCGCCTCGAACCCGTACACCTGGTTCACCATGGAGGCCCTTGAGGAGACCTGGAGGAATCTGCAGAAAATAATCAAGGTACATGGCCTCCAGTTGTCCTCCCTGTTGCTCCCTGCACCCCCCTGCCACCCCATTCCTAAAATTCTTCCTGGACAGAGTTCCTAAGAAGACAGAGCACCCGGCACTTCTCTGCCTGGGAGAACCCATTGCTTTTGATTTGTTTCTTATTCCACTGCTTGGAATATTGATGATTTTAAGATGCCAAGCCCAGCTATCCCCCAGCATGCACCTTCCCAAGCCTTTCTATCAGGGGCAGCTCTGTGGTCAGACAGCAACCAGACCTCAGGCTCTGAGAGCTGGGGGATCCCCCTTGAAGCAAAAGGCTAAGCTGGACGGAGGGTCTTTGGGTTGCTCGGAGTTCTAGATTTCCGTACAGGATCTGGGATCCGGGAAAGAAATGCAGTACAAGAGAAAGCAAAGACAAGAGCAGCCGGGCACAGGCAGTGGCCTTCAAAGCATTTGTCCTTCTTTGGAGTCGGGAGTCCTCGGGGCGGGGTAGAAGCCCACAAGCTCCCATCCCTGGAGGGCTCACCTTGTGGCTTTTACCTGTCCCAAGGAGGGAGGGAGGGAAGCCTCACACCACACTTTAAGCCCCTCCATGCGATAAACGAAAGATTTATTCTGAGCAGGATGAGAGACAGCTCAGCATGTAACAAGACCAGCAGTCCTTCAGGCATCGCTGCCGAGCCTGGGAATTCCGTTTCGTGTCACTGTGTCCATTAGTTCATTAGAGATTTACGCCCCCCACTCTAGGGTAAAAATGAAAACCAGAGTCTCTGTGCCGGTTTTCTGCACTTCGAGAGAGGATGATGTCAGGCCCGGCTCCAGCATCCCCTCCAGCTCTCGCCTCGTCCCTTTCCCAATGGCTGCTCTTCTTCTTCTTCTCTTCCCAGGAGCGCGAGTTAGAACTGCAGAAGGAGCAGCGAAGGCAGGAAGAGAATGACAAGTTGCGGCAGGAGTTTGCCCAGCACGCCAACGCTTTCCACCAGTGGATCCAGGAGACCAGGTGCGGCCCCCCTGCCCTGCCCTGCCCTGCCCCTTCACAGTGGCCACAGGCAGCAGGTGGGCAGTCACGATTCCTCTCGGAGCGAAACCTCCTTGTTTATGCTTGGGGTTTGGTGGAGCGTGGTTGTCGATCAGCCCTGATAGGCACTGGAGTTTCTTGAGCCAAAACACCTTTAATCTAGCTTAATTTACCTCTGAGTGGAGATGGGGAGGATAAATGAGGTACGGCACATAACACACGGTACCCTGACAATGGAATAGAAATACTAAGAAACAGCGTCTAGAGAAAGGCTGGAATTCTGGACTCTTCCCCACAAAAACCCCTCTGTTTTTCTGTGGTGAGATCAAAGTCTGTGCTCTGATTAAAAGTGATGCTGCGTTTCCTTAAAGTTCAGGTTTTCCAGGAAGCTGGAAATCAGTGAGGGGAGTGGTAGAAGGTGGGGGCTTGGGATCTGGGACCCACTGCACAGGAATCTTGTTCCAAAATACGGACAGGAAGGGTGCTGAACTGTGTAAACATGCGTCGCCTTCGCTAACTTCGATCCCCTTTGTCCCCCTCTTCTCTTTCCCTGCCCACCGCCACTTTTCCGCTTACTCCTGGGCCTGATGCGTGGACCACCCTGTCCTTCAGGACCTACCTGCTCGATGGGTTAGTACACAATCACGTTTCACAAATGCTCTTTTTCATATGTGCTTCTTCCTGCCATTGCTTTGCTTGTGACAACGGTCGTGTTAGAAACCATCTGGTTGGGTATATGTGCCGGGGTTCTGCATGAGGTGTCAGCTGACCCCATCTCCTGGAAGCAGAGCGTAAAGAGCAACCCTCAGGGGCCCAAAACTCAGACGAGTCAGCCTGCCTCTCTCTCTCTCTCTCTCTGTTTGCGGTGCACACGCACCCACACCTTTGACCAGCTTTTGATGACAGCCGCCTCTTTGAGCCAGGCGGACCCGTAGCAGCACCTTGAGCCGAAGTGTGTCCCCACAGCATCTCGCCTGTTCCGCAGCCGCTGAGGGGCACCCCCTTTCCGTCAATATTCGACATCCGTGCTCGCTGCTATTGCCATTTAACCCGGACCTTTAGAAAACAGGAATCTGTGTCTACCCCTTCAAGGTTAGACAAGGTTGAGCCAAATGCCTAATCTGCCTTTTCTGGAGCCAGGCAGCTAACTGCTGACTGGCAACATCTTTTAAATTTACCATCTGTGTTACCCGGACTGTGCAGCTCACTGGTGCTTCTGTTGAAAAACGGGGGCTTTGGATCTAAGCTCTTGACGTATTTTCTGCTGCCGGGAGGCTCCAGTTCCCTTTCTTAGCCACCAAACAGCTAAGATCTACACCTCTAGTCTCCAGTGCCCAGTTCCTTGTTTTCCGATCCCAGTAAGGGTGGAGCAGCTTGGCTGTCTCCTCATTCACCCAGTGCTGCACTGTCCCAGCCCCGAAACAGGCAGCCTGCAGCAGCGGCCCGCTTCTAGTGCAGCAGCCGAGCAGCAAATTTGGCCCTTGGGACTGTGCTCCAAGCGCCCATTATTTGCCCGCACACCAGAGCCGGAAGCCCTGTGGTTTGCTCAGCTTCGAAAGTGAATTGTGCTCCTTCGCCAGCCCGACACATGTCGCTGCTGAAGCCAAGCCCCGATTGGATCATTGTGTCTAAACCACGGCTGTTTCCGATGCCGGGGGGAATGCTGTTTCTGGAAAGAGGCTGTCTTTGCATCTGGAGGGGCACTGTAGCTCAGTTCGGAGCCCCCGATCTGCAGGCAGAATGTCCCAAGTTCAATCAGCCACAGAGCAGGTGGCGTGCTGCTGCCAGTCCGAGCAGACAGCACTGGGTCGACGGACGTTCCCACTCAGTGGCAGAGCCTGGGCAACTCCATGCTTGCTCCAGGCCATGGGGCATACGGCTTGGGAGGGCTCGGCTGCCGGAAGAGCTCTTGCTGTTGAGGCCCAGCCTCTTGGCTTCCGTCTGGGTGGGCCCAGCTGAAATTCACTAGCCTTGGATGGCGTGAGGGCCGATTCAGGTGTTTGACAGCGGGACTGAAGTCCATCCTGTAAAAGGACAATGAGCAGAGGGCCAGAGTTGCCTTTCCCAGACGGCAGCATGACGGTCAGCGGGCAGCTCGAGGGGTGCATGTTGTAGCTTTGCCAGAAGGCAGGCGTGAGCCGCTTCTCTGCCTCTCCCCACAGTTCTGCAGAGAACTTGGGCTCTCAAGAGCGTCGGCCCATTTCCACCTCTTCAGCTCCCTTCGGAGAGCTGAAACCAAGCCAGCAGAAGCCGCACGCGACACGTTTGCTGCTGGGCCGTGCCGTTTGAGACCTCGTGGGGGACGCTGGCATGTTCCCCCATGTCCAACAGCCACCGCTCCGAGTCTGAGGTCCCGCCCCAGTGGCTTCCCCCGACCAGGGTCCCGACGAAGAGGACCGGGGCTGGCCCGCCTCTGTGCGGGAGCAGAGCCCAGTCCAGGGGGTCAGAATGGTCCCGGGAACCTCCCATAGGATGGGGAGCAGTTGCCTGGCTTCCTCTGTCCCGCGGCTGCCCAGGTGGAAAACCTTGCCGCCCGGCCGCCACCTGTCCCGAGGGGCTTCCGGGGGTCCGTGCGCAGGAGAAGAGGTGGAAACGGTGCGCGGCCGGCATGGCTGTGGGTGTGGCTGGACTGGCCCCCGCCTTGCTGCTTGCGAGCTGGCGCTGGTGGGAGTTTGCTCCGTGGCGGCGTGTGCTCACCTTTCCTCCCACGTGGAACTTCACCTGGTTTCTTTTCTTTGAATAGAATAGCGTACCGCCGTGTCATTCGTGTCTATCAGTATGAAGTTGGGGATGATCTGTCCGGAAGGTTTTCTTCTTCCTTTTCTTATCTCGCTGTGTTTTTTTTTTTCCTTTAGTTTTGTGTTGTTTTTTTTAAAACCGCGCACTCCTAATTCCAAAAGCTCGCTTTCCTTTGGACTAACTGTCACTGCTGTGAGATGCTTTTGATAGGGAGGAGGTGTTCCCCCTTTTGCTGGCACCCCCTCTCCGTGCCCGGGACAGCCTGGGCTTCTGCCTTGGGCTTCCGAAACCCCACTGACTGCGAGCCCTAACCCTTTGGGAGTGAGGCTCGCCCGTGCAAATTTGGTCCGTTAACACGGAGCGATTATACCACCAAAGCCAGTCTGGACATCCACCCGCTGGTGTCGTGGAGGGGCAGGGTTTGGTCGGGGGGACAGAGGACACGGACTTCCCTTCCAGAAAGCCTCTGTTTCACTGGGGCACACAGAAAGTGCAGCTCACCGGCACAGTAGCCAAGACTCGCTGTTTGTACACGGATTGTCCATTGTTATCTTGCACCATGATTGTTTCCGGACAGAGGCTCTAAACGAACAGTGGGGAAAATAAACTGCTGCCTTGATTACTCTTTCGGAGGCACCCTAAGCCTCACTCCAATTCGGAGCGTTAACGCTTGTGGATTTAATCTGGGCTGCCAGAGCCCCTCTTTTCGTTGCTGCTCATTTTCAAACGCCAGTTAAAAGCAAGCCTTGCCTTCTGAACGCAACAACGAATAACCCCTAAATTGCAGCTGAGCCCCACAAACCCTCTGCCCATTGGCACGCCAGAGGGGAAGGGTCTCCGAGGCGACCTCCAACCAGTAGCCCTTGTAGACTGCGGCGCTTCGGGCTTGCTAAAGGAGACGCTTGCCGCAGGCCTGCGGGCGGCGTTCGCACCGGGCCAGTAGTTTTGTGAGGTTTTCCACACACCACCTCTGTGCTAGAGCTCCTGTCGCCCATCGGCAAGCCAAGCTCATCACCGGCGGTTTGTGTGTATTGGGCATTGGTTGGGCGGTGAGGCTGCACCAGAGGGAACTCTCACTCAGACCATCCAGGAGGGAGCGCTTTGGGTTTGGCATGAAGTGCTTTTCTCGCGGCTTGTGGAATGGGGCTTGAAATTAACTTCCCGGGGCGGCCAGCCGGAGTCCAGTTTCGAAAGGCTCGCTTGCAGACTGCTTGCTCGTTGGAAAAACTGGCCGAGAGAGAACCTCAGGAAAGGGTCGCATTGACCTGACTTTCTATTGTTTTATTTATTTATTGAAAACATGTCTATGCCGCCCCCATCGCAACAAAGCCTCGGGGCAGCTCACAAAAAGGTAGCACAAAAAGGTTTCTAGGTAGCGAAATATACATATATATGTGTGCCTAACATGTAATCCAGTGACCAATTTGCCAATGGTAAATTGCCCTGGGATAGGTCTTGTTATATATTATCTATATACTTTTCTTCACAATACACTAAAACAGAAATTGAAATTGACGGAGTCTGAGGCTGGCTTTTAAGTAGAAAATTCTACCTTGAATGGATGATTTAAATTTTTTTTTTTTTTTTTACTATTTCTTAGCAGTGGGAGGGGAAAGATGCCCTGGTCCTCCAGTCTTATGGAAACCAGGTGAAATTGCACGAAAAAGGGATAGTGTTAATCTCAAGCCCCATCTGCTTTTACTTCTGCCTGCCAAGAACCCCCCTCCTCATTCTGGCTCTCTGTTTAGGTCTTGTATGGTGGAAGAATCAGGAACTCTGGAGTCGCAGCTGGAAGCAACTAAAGTGCGTATATAACCTCCCCTTTTCTAGTTGAAGTGTCTGAGGAAAGATGCATTTCATTATAATGGATATTTAGTAGAAACCGAGCAAAAGGGGCATTTTTAGCCTATGGCCAGCCTATATAAAACAAATAGGAAAGGTGAATTGAGAAAAGGCACAAGGAGTTTTGCAGTAACCCAGTGGAATGCTATTTTTTAAAAGCAAGCCACTGTCCCATGTGCTGTATTGCCTTTAAAAAATCCTGCAGCTAAATGGCTAGCAGTTGTTGTAAATCGGCACAAAGAATAATGTGAGTCCAGGTGTGAAGCAGTTCATACAATTCCTCCTGTACAAAGCACCGTTGGAAGTGGATGATGAATTTTGCCACTGAAATCGTGCGATTAAATGCATTACTCACGCTGCAGTCCCGGCCCCGACATGCAATTTTATGAGGGGCGGGTTGGTCAAACACGGCCCAGCCTTTACTAAATTTTGTTCTTTAATTACCTAAGCCAATATCGGGCATTAGGCATACAAATGCTCGGTAGACATTTGTTTTCCTTCTATTCGGCAGCAAGTTGCTCACTCGCCCTTCCAGGCTGCATTCACTGGTGTTTCAGGCAGCAGTTACAGCCAGAACCTGGAAGAACTGTCAGGTGCCGTTCCGAATAAACAAGTATTTCTTCCTCCGTCCCTTTCTTTTTGGGCCGTGTCTTCCACGTGGTAGCTTTGTGGGCAGGTAGCGCTTGTTTCCCCAATGAAAAGGCGTCCTGCTTGTTTATCTCTGCCGGCTGCCGAGTGTCAGGATAAAACTGCCACGATATTGTCTTGTCCGTACGTGCTCTGGTTTCCAAAGGGCCTCCGCTGATTTGTGGGCCTTGCTGGCTTGCCTGATGGTCTCCCCGTTCCCAACAGCGCAAGCACCAGGAGATCCGGGCGATGAGAAGCCAGCTGAAGAAGATCGAGGACCTGGGAGCGGCTATGGAGGAAGCTCTTATCCTGGACAACAAGTACACCGAGCACAGCACCGTTGGGCTCGCCCAGCAGTGGGACCAGCTCGACCAGCTCGGGATGCGGATGCAGCACAATCTTGAACAGCAAATACAGGCGAGGTATGGCCCGGCCCGGGGGCCGCCTGGTCAGGGCAGCTTTGCGGCTTTGCGGAGGCGTGAAGCTGTGCTTGTGTCACGACCGCGCTCCTCTCCCCTCTAGGAACACCACCGGCGTCACCGAAGAAGCCCTCAAGGAGTTCAGCATGATGTTCAAGTACGTTGGGGGTGGGGGTGAGCTGTGGGGCCTCTGCAGTGTGGACCACGCATTCTGCTCGCCAGCAGGGGAGCGGGCCGGGCCGGTTCGCCTCCCAGTTCCCGTCTGGGGGCAGCCACCCTCCCTAGCACAAGGCAGGGGCCACCTGCCCCCCCCCACTAAGTCCTTGCCCTGCTTTTGCCATGCTGGCCTCACCGTCCTCCTCTCAGTCTGCGCCTCCAAGGTATTCTTCTCGTTTAAGCCCTTCGACCCTAGGGATTTCCTCGAATGGCTTGTTTTGCTTCCTGTTGCACCCGCTGCCGCTGTCCTCATCCTCTCTGCGCCTGGGCAGGCCGCTTACATACACACAGAGGCCCAGCAGAGATGCTCCCCGTGTAGCTTGAGAACCTCTGACCTGTAACGAGCCGGTTGACTAGCTTTAACGGCTCACATAATTTACATTCCAGGCACTTCGACAAGGACAAGTCCGGTCGGCTGAATCACCAGGAATTTAAATCCTGCCTGCGTTCTTTAGGCTATGATTTGCCAATGGTGGAGGAAGGCGAACCAGACCCGGAGTTTGAGGCTATACTCGACACCGTTGACCCTAACAGGTACAGGTTCAGGGTGTGCACCTTGGCCGTCTTCCGCAAGAGCTTCCTTGCTTTAAGATTCCAGTGCTCGCCTTTGAAAGGGGACAACCGTCAGCGTATTTCCCTGTTCAAGATAAGTGGGTTTTTTAAAAGTTGGTGCTGGTTGCGCTTCTCTTATTTATTTGCTGTTTAGCTCAGCCGACTAACCACAATTTCTAGCTTGGACATTGGGACTGAGTCAACGGCTCTCCCCTGAGAAGCTGCTTGGTCTCCGGTTCCGGGAACTGGCTCGGCAGACCAGAAGAGCGAACCCTTTTAAAGGGCGTTTTGCACAGGCTTCAGGGCAGCTGTCGCTTGGCTTGCTGTGGAGATGCTCTGGATGGGCTAGGGCTGCCGTGCTCATGCTGCGCTCTCCCCACCTTTGGCAGGGATGGGCACGTCTCGCTGCAGGAGTACATGGCGTTCATGATCAGCAGGGAGACGGAGAACGTGAAATCCAGCGAGGAGATCGAGAGCGCCTTCCGTGCCCTCAGCTCGGAGGGCAAGCCCTACGTGACCAAGGAGGAACTCTACCAAGTAAGTGCCCGTTGCCGGAATTCCGGCCGAGAGGAAAGTTCAGGAATGCTTTTTAAGCTCTTCTAGCCCAGTTCAGCCCGTGGGAAGCCACAGCATCGACCTGTCGGCGACAGGGGCTGGCGTGTCTTTTCGTACAGAGGATGTTCTAATTGCGGTCCAAGATGTGGACGACGCCGGCTCCTTCTGCATCAGTGCAGCATAGCGAGCGGAGGCATCTCATGCTCAGAATCGCAGGACCCTCGGCAGAAATGCTGAAGAGGAGAACCTGCGCTCTGAGCGTCGGCAGCTACGCGGGGTGGGGGGCAGGATCTGTCCGGCCAGTGCGACCTTCTTGCCAAAGATTCCTCCCCCTCCCTCCACCAGCAGGGCCATGCGCAGGCACACTCCTGCCCTGCTCCACCCCAAAAGGTTTTTTAAAAGTTCTGCATACGCGACTGCAAAGGTTCTGCCTTCCCCTGAGTGAGCGAAGCAGGGTGGGACGACCAGTCGATGCCTGCATTAAATTGCTAACCGCCCCTTCAAAATCACTTAAGGTTGAGGACAAAGCAAAAAAATCCCTCCTTTGTTGTGTGACCGTGAAAAAGACCGGCAACACCAGCAGGTCGTTTTGTATTTAAAAAGGTGATGCCCCGTCTCTTCTGTAGGGGATCGTATGGAAGGAGCCCTCTCCCGTCCTACTGCACCGCACATTTATGCTTAGTTTTGTGTATTGATTAGTAACAGAAAAGATCATCGCAGGAAACATGCAGTAGCTTTTTTTACATCGTTCTCTCGACCCACACTTCTTTTTAGGACACTTGGTGTCAAAACAGCTGTCTTCAGGCTTATCTTTACAAATTCTGACTCTCTTGTGCCTTTCTGATACAGCTGGCCCTTGCTGCTGGGTCATCAGGAGAAAACAGGATTCTTCTCTTAAGATTTAGTACATCTGATTATTTGTTTATTTATTACAGGCATTTATATCCTAAGCTCTCAGGGCGGCTTTCAAAATATAAAAGTACAATATAAAACCTCAATTATTAAAACAATATAAAATACATCATGAACTTAAGAAAAAAGCAGGAGAAAATTAGAAAGTGTGACTATGAAGGGAAATCCTAAAACATCTAAAATCGTTGGTTATTAAAATAATGGTTGAATAAAAAGGTCTTTACCTGGCGCGGGAAAGAGTATAACGTCAAGTATATAAATGATTAATCACTTCAGAGCCCTTTCGCATTTAAATTGATGCCCTGCCTAAGATATTTCAACCGCATTTCTTTCTTCCCTGGCCGCGCTTCTCTGCTTCTTCTGTGGCAAGGGCCACCGCCTCTCTCTGAACACATCTCTTCCCTTTCAGAATCTCAGCCGGGAACAAGCAGATTACTGCATCTCTCACATGAAGCCCTACATGGACAGCAAAGGCAGAGAGCTCCCCTCTGCCTACGACTACATCGAGTTCACACGCTCGCTCTTTGTGAACTGATTCCCGGCACGAGCTCGCTCAGTAGGGACCCGAACCCCGTGCTCGCGTCTTCCGCTTCGTAGCTCTCTGCATGTGTCCGCTGTTATGCACAGAAGTAACCTATGTTATCTTTCCGATGTAACCTCCAATCCGCTTCGCTTACACTCTGTTCTTAGTACGAGGAGCCAAGCTTGTTGCCGTGTGCTTCAATAAAAGTTGCTAGCCCAAGTGACCCCCTCTGGCTGCTTCTCGAGGCCCCGAAGGGCCATCAGATGCCCTTCGTCAAGGAGTGCCATACGCAAACACACCCACTGCCAGTGCGCGCAGGAAGAGCAAAACAAAGGAACTTCGTAGGGTACGAATGGTGCAAAATTTTATTACTCTTCGTATGGTCCGTATTAATCTATAACTTCATTAGCTAACTGGTCAAGATGGTTCATTTCTCGCGGTCCCTCTTCCGTGAAGTCGGAGCTCAGCTGCCATATTTTCACCACGCCGCTGCTGTCTCCAGCAGCCAGTAGCTGGGGCCGCTTGTGGTTGAACTCCAGGCTGTACACGGGACTCTGGTCAGAGCCCTGCTTAATCGTGAGGGAGGGCTTCTGGGAGCTCTTCCCCAAATCAAACAGCTGCACTTCTCCTTGAAAACAAAGACCACCAAACAGGACCGTGCCGTTAGCCGCCATAACGATGCAGAAGACGTGGCCGATGGCATTAGCTCTAATCGTGACATCATTTGAGAAGCATCTTGTTCCCGAAAGATTTTTCATAATCCCCAGTCCTGATCCTTGGTAGCTGCAGCCAGTTTTGGGTGCATGCCAGACACAATTCACCGTGTCCTTAACCTCAAAATCAATTAGACTAAGCCGTTGGATGGCAGGTTTGCAAGCAAGGGCCGTGGGTTCCACCCCCCCCCCCCCCGCAAAAGGTGCAGGTAAGTCATCACCTCCGATGTTTTCTGGAGTTCCACCCCACTTCTGGTTTCTAGGCTTTTCATTGCCTAGAGCAAGTCCTGCATTCAGCACGGCTTTTACTGATGACACAAACTTTGCACCTGCTGCAGAAGTAACACCAGCTTGGAACTCCCTCTGGGTATTCCCCAAGCTGCAGCTGGAACTGTGCTGTTCTCGGCGGCACTCGGCTTCGCCGGATTAGTGACCACCATATCCAGGTGTCTCTGCCTGATCTTGGGTTGGAGCCCACACTCCCAAAAGCTCGCCCTCTTCCTTCTGTGTAGCTTTTTCAGGGCACTGGAGGGGAAACCCCGTGGAAGAGGGGGCACGGAAGTGTATCTGACACGCTAAAATCCCAGTGTGAGTCAACGTTCCCCCAGAGCTATGCTGATTCTGCAGGGGTCTGAGTTTAAGTTTCTGCCCCCCTTACCCTCCCTCCCAGAGTTACCACGTGCACCTACCCTCTCCAGAAGCAGCTGCGAAAACCAAGGGCCGTACCGGAGACCACCTCACACCAAAAACGTATTTCTTTGACAACTGAATAGAAAGAAGCGGCTGAGCTTGTAACATGGAGTGCAAGTGAACATGCCCGTCAGTCCCTCCGTTTAGAAACAGATTCCTGGAAAAGAGCAAACTTTGGGTGAGGGGAGACCAAAAGCCCTGGACCATCTAGACAGGTTAGCTGCAGAAATGTACTTGCAATTCCTAGACAGTTTAGGGCGAGGGGGTGCTTCTTTTTCTGCTGCGAGAGCCCCAAGCACACCCCGGGACAAAAACACGAGGTGCTTCAACAGAGAGGCAAACTCAATCTATTCACGATTCCTTGAGCGGCACTGAACGACTGAAAAGAACTCCAGAGGCAGGTTGCTGCCATCTCGGGTCTTGCAGGGTGTCAGTAGAAGCACATGTGAAAAGATGGAAATTCCCGCGTCGAGATTGATGGCGGGGGTTCTCCTCCCTTTTGTTCTGAGTGCTGCTCGGGAAAAGGGCCGAGTTTGTCCCTTCCGCTAAAGGGCAGACGGGGACCCAGAGAGCAACACACCCGTCTGAGAGCTGCAGGGCCCTTCCACTTCCCAAGGAGCCGCTTCTGCTGCTCGACTCACCTGTGGAAAGGGGAGCAGCTGACGGAGTAGATGGGCCCTCCGTGCAGGGAGAAGACAAACTGGGCAGGTGCCTTCAGTGCGATGGAGCTACTCTTCTGCAAGAGCGCCGTGGTCTCTACTGCCGTGGAGCACTTCAGCAGGCAGCCGCCTTCCGTGCCAACAACAAACACGCTGGGCTCAAAGTGGGAGAAGGAGAGCGAGGTCACGCCCACTGCTGTGTCTCCGTGTGTGTGCTGGGAGGATGGGGGGGGGGGGCAAACCCCTGGTGAGACCTGGCAGACTTGTAAACAGACAACCCCCCCACAGAAAAGACACTTGTCACGGGTAGAGTCAGAAAAAAGAGATGTTGTGTCACGGACAATTTCCCTGGGAAACCCAAACAGTGCATTTCCCGCTCCTCAAGCAGCACCTCCAGCCAAACCGCAGGTAAACAATGGCCGGCCGGCTGGCCGGCCCACCACCCTCCCCCGGCCACAAGCCACTTCCTCCAGTTGTGCCTTTGCCAACAACCCAAGCGTTTCCTCAAGGAACAATACGCACAAGCACACTCCCGTGCCTGACTCACAAGTTGGCCTAGAGCCTCCAGTCCGTGCTTTTTAACAGCACAGAATGGGCACACGTGACGGGAAATGCCGTTTAGTGGCAGCCCGCGATTTGGCGCACACAACGTGGATCGTGAGCCTGGAGGGGAAACGGCCCCATTGCGGAGGGCAGGCCCAGCGCCGCCACGGCTGCCTTCTGGTGGGAAGTGCCGCCAGTTCCAAGCAGGCGGGCTTGCTGGTGCCACCTGGTCCAGGCGCTTCCCCACAGCCACACCGTCCCGCGAGGTCAGTCTCCTCCACGCAGGCAGAAACCAAAGCTCTCGCCCACTTCCCTGACAGGCCACAGGAGACGACTCCGTTTCCGTGCCAAGCCCACCTTCTTCAGCCTCGTGCTCCTGGGGATCTGCTGCAGCCTCAGGGCAAAGCCGTCCGCAACCCGGAGACGGCCGTCTCGCTCCTCCTGCCACATCAGGATCTTCCCGTCGGTGGAGACGCTCAGGATTCGGAAGGAGTGGCCGTGCCTCGAGTCCCGTACCCAGCCAACCTGAGCCAGAAACGAGGGGGGCTTGCCAAGGCTGCTGGGAGCGAGGAACAGGCGGGACAGTGGAGCGCTCTCCACCCTGGTGGTGCTTGCCCCAGAAGGGCCGCTGCCAAGCCTGTGCTCCCGAGGCCTGAGCTCCCCTAGCTGGGTGCTGGGCTCCAGGGCAGGATGAGGAGCAGGCAGTCGTGGTGAAGAGGGAGAGAGCCAGGGTCTCGGGGGCCACCTTGCCAAGGAGATAGGAGAAGCAGCGGATTAAGCTGGGACCCGAATGGTACCGGCAGAGACCTGAGTAGAACCGGACTGGGGGCAGACACATTCCCATCTGTCCCGTCGCCCCCCCCCCCCACCGCAACCTCCTTTCGGCTCCTCCCGCTCTGCTCCTGTCCTCACAGCTCACGCCTCTTACAGGGTAAGGCTGAAGCACAGACTGGCCAATTACTGGCCGCTGTCATTCCGGACATTTTTAGCTGAAGAGGAAGGTCAGCGGGTTAACAGCAAAAGGCAGAGCAAAAGATCTAGGGATCCTCCCGCTCGCTTCACAAGCAAGAGGATTAAGGGCAACCGAAACAGATGGTTTTTAGATTCCAGTGGGAGAGACCCTGGCCTCTCCCAGGCTCCTCCCCTCCCTCCCTCGAATTCGCTGGTCTCTAAACTAGCTCGAGGACCCTGCCCCGTTTCCATGAAAACGTTGCTGCCTCCGGCTTGGCGAGGAAGGCGGCATCCCAGCATACCTGATAGACTGGGTCTGTGTGGGTGTCCTCCGTCATTCCCGTCCTCCAGATCAGGGGGTCCTCCAGTCTGCTCACGTCCCACACCAGGACCTCCCCACTGAAGAGGCCACCTGGAAGAGCCAAGGGATGCCAGCGACGATGGCCAGGTGCCCCGGCCCCCTCGCCACCTGCACCCGCCATTCTCCACTGCACCATCTGCCTTTGAGAAGGGCTGGACCCATTGCTGGATTTAAATGGATTCGGGGTTAGACCCAACTGAGGATTTAAACCCAGGCCTCTTACTGACCGCACGGTTCACTCCTCTGGACTCACAGGACCACAGAGATGGACAGCAGCCTTATCTGCTGCATTCTGCACCACTCTGTGAGTCAGCGTTACTCTTCCAGTGGGATAAGGCACGAGCCCTCAGACTGGGAAGCTCGGTGGCGCGGACAGCCAGTCAAGGGCCCCGTGCGCCTGAGCGGCCACCTGAAACCCAGGCACCAAGCAGCAGCGACTGGGCTCCACAGGGAGGCCCCCCCGCCTCACCTCCGGGAGCTGCCCCGGACAGAGGCCGCTCAGCTGGCCAGAGGTGACAGAGCGCAAAGCGGGGAACGAGACAAGCCGCAGAGCTGACCGGCAATGAGCGACGGCTGCCGCGGGTGGAAAGCCACAGACATCACGGCCCCGGGAACTTCCACCACGGCACCAGGTCGCCTGGGGTCGAGCGCCCTGCGGTCGAGATTCCACGCGCAGACGTAGGACTTCTCCGTGCTCCAGTCCCCATCGCCCAGCCTGGAACGAAAAAGGAAAGGCTGGCCGGAGTCGCCCAGGCCAGATGCAAACGGGTGCTCTCCAGCTGTGCTACATCGCAAATCTCAGCCTTCCCGGTCTGACCAGAGACCCTCCAGGGAAGAGCAGAGTGAGTCCAGCTGCAGTCACTGGTAGGTAGGTATGTTTGTTTGTGCACATATTTATATGCCACGGAGAGCTGCCGAAAGGCCTCCCTAGGCAGCTTACAACCACATATCAAGCATTTTAATATCAAACAGGCTGCTGCACAGCAGAGCTTGCTGACCAGGAAAGGCTCCTCTGGGCGACTTCTGCTTGCGAAAGAGCCGCCCGTCTTCTGGAGCAAAGATGATCTGCATTCCTGGTTTCTCCGGACAGCCCGGCTCTTGGCAGCTACCAAGGGGGCCAAGGGGAAACCCACGTGGCGCCTCCTGGGCACGGTCTGTGCGCGTGCTGCCGCCTTTGCGCCCCCCTTCCCAGCAGGCACGTCATCGTGCCCCTTTCATCCCAACAGCCTTCAGAACGATGCCCAATCTGCGCTTCTCCCTGAATGCTTGGTAAGTACAAATATGCCTTCCAACCCCTTTTCCCCCAGGGAAACGAGGCTTGGTCAGCTCTGATAGCTAGCAGTCCAAACATGGAGCCCCTGTGAAAAGGGGGACACCCGCCTCGCTATCTGGCCAACTCACTTGCCGTACGAACAGGCAAGGACTGCTCCAGTGGCATTCCAGGAGACGCTGGTGACTTGCAGGTCGTTTGCTTGAGCCTCGGGGTATGACAGACTGTGCAAGCAAGTGACCTAAAAGGAAAAAATAATCCGGTGGTGGTTGTTACTGATCATAGTAACAGCAGTAATAATAATATTTCTCTGCCACCCAACAGCCAAAGCCGTCTGGGCTGGTTACAGCAAGCAGATGACATACCATAAACATATGTAATAGTGAAACATAATTAAATACAAAATTTAAAAGCCAAACATAAAACCATTTTAAAACCTGCAACAGCTTAGATAAATTAAGTCAGAGGACAGGATGAGAATTATGTGCGGAAATGAGGATACAACTTTACACAGTACTGAACTGGATGTGACCGGTTGCCCAAATCAAACTGACACTAAAGAGAGGGCTGGAGCGGCCGCTTCAAAAGTGGAAAACCTTCACCAGCAGTGTCCTACTTCAGAATCGGCGCAGATGGGGAGCCCTCCCTGCCTGCCTTTGCTCCAGGACTTTCCTCCCCAAGTACTGAACCCACAACGCACAACAGAGGGGGGAAAGCGATTTAAAATATTAACGTTCCCACAACAGCCAGTGCTTTACCGTTTCATTCTGATCCGCCCAGTTCACCTCGAAGCCATCGAAGGCATGGCTCTTCCAGTTTTTGTCCAGCTCTCGGATGACGGCCTCTTCCACACTCTGCAGGAAAGTGCGCAGACCAGCATAATCCACTGGCACAGGTGGTGGCAGGACCGGGGCCGGCTCCCCGCCCACGTCTGTCTGAATGCCCACATCCCGGCAGCAACAGGACTGAGTTACAGCTTCTGCTGTAGAGATCACTCTGGTCTGGGTGCTTTTCTGTTAAAATAAGAATGTTGCAGTCAATTATTTACCTGCCTTTCTGCCGGAGACGAGGTCTCCAAATGGCCAGCAAAAAAAGAAACTTGAACCCGGCAAGGCCAAGGAGGCGGGGAGGCGATGCATAATGGCTTTCTCCAACCTGGCGACCTCCAGTTGCCTTGACCACAAATCTCCAAATCCTTGCCAGCATGACCATGCCGGCTGGATAATAAGTTGTAGAAAAATGTTGTGTGATAGGATTTGAAGGCTGGGGAAAGTGTCTATGAAATGTCCATTCCTCAGTCCTTTGAGATCCATACACTTCTTAAAAATGTGCAGTCCGATCCTATGTGCATTTGCTCAGGAGTATGTTCCACGCAGCTCAAAAAGTAAGCCTTGACAAGGTTGGCACCCTTTCAAGTAACCCCACTGTTGTAGATGGCAGGCACCATTCACGGCATCCTGCAATATTTACAGAATTGTTTGGGGGGGTTTTTTAAAGGTATTTCTCGGGGTCTTCTCTCACTACTTGAGCAGACAGGGCAATACTGTGTTTCCCCTGCCACTCATCTTACATAACCCCCTACGCAAAAACAAAATGTTTGCAGAGACAGCCCAAAAGGTACACCATCAAAAGGCATTTCCTAAGCAATTGCCCTGCCTCCTTCCCATAATTTTACTCGTGGCTGACACGACTGGCAACTTGCATTTGTAGCTTGCATTTCCCCGCCACCTCGCCTGCCCGTTTCTGCACATGCACAGCTCTCAAGGCGGAGGCCAAGAATAGGACGAAGGAGCTGCTCCCGCCATCATTATTATTATTAATAATAATAATAATAATAATATTATAACATTTCTATGCCGCCCCTTGCCGAAACCTCGGGGCGGCTTACAACACATAAAATACATTGAAATACAATAGAACATAATAAATTACCATTAAATACAAAAATACAAAAAATACACTGAGTTACAAATATAAAATTAAAATTATCAGTATAAAATAAGTAAATAAAAATATAGGAGGAGAAAAGAGAAGGAAGAAGAAGTTGCCCTGGCCAGATCATATGTTTTAACAATTAAAATGATGTTTAAATAATAAGGGGCCCCGCGGGGCTTTGGGGGAGCGTTTCTGCCCCTGCTGGGACGTGCCACGGATCGGGCCAGGGCCCTCTGCCAGCACGGCGGGCCTCTGCCCCGCAGCTGCGACCCTTCCGCTACAACCAGAGCAAGTTCCTAGACCGTATGGCTCCGAGCAAAGAGCTGAATCGGCGAAGAGTCCCGGAAGCGGCCTTCTCCCCAGTCGGGCCCTTGCTCGGGCCCGCCGGGGCTTCTGCACCGCTCGCCGGGGAGGCGGGCACGGAAGCGGGGCCTTCCGCGGCATCCACCGGGCGCACAACTGCGGCGCGCCTCTGGGCTCAGGCCCGGCTCCGTCCGGACGGGCCGGACTACACCCCCCCATCGGCCCCGGGCCCACGGCGCGCCTCACCTCCTCGCCGCGGGCCTCCCGCGCCCTCCTCCACGCCGACCCCACGCCCTCCGCCCGGGGCGCCGCGTCCGCGAACATCCCGAGCGGCGGCGGCGGGCCCGGCCCGGTTGCCATGGGAGCGGGCGCCGCGAGACGACGTTACCGGGGCGGCGAGGCCAGCGCCGCCATCTTGGGCGCGGGAGAGGGCCGCCTCGGCGCCCCGTTGCCGCGGGCCGGGAGGGTCGCGGGCTCGGTGGCCCCCGGCCTCTCGTCCTGGCCCTGCGGGAGGGCCGCGCGGCCGACCGAGGAGGGCTCGCCCGAGAGAGGCGCCCGGCTCGCGGTGTGGCGCGGCCCGGAGGGGCCGGAGTAAAGATGGCGCCGGCTCGGTCGCCCGGGAAACGGGGCGGCCCCGCGTCGCGTCGCGCGCCCCGCCCATTGCCCCGCCCGCCCGCCCGCGTCACCGCCCCCCCGTGCCCGCACAACGGCCCTGCGAGGTGGGCTTGGCTCGCAGAGGCGCCTGAGGCGGAGCAGCGGGGAGAAGCCGCGTCTCCCCGCCCAGTTCAGCCGCCCGAGCGCCGCGTTGCCTCTGCCGGGCTTTCGCCCGGGGTCTTACGGCCTTGCTTAATTGGTTTTTATTCGCTAGATGTTATGTGAGCGGGGCCGGCTGGAGCCGGAGGTCCGACTAGATGGCCCGGGAGCCCCCTTCTGACTCGCGCTGGTTCTATGTTATTTATTACTGTTAGAGGTCGTTTGAGGGTATTTGATTTTAAGGACTGTGAGTGGCGTGCATAATGGACGGGATATAAAAGTTTTGAATAGATAAAGAACTAATACGCATGCACGGGATTTTGCCCGTACAGACGAGCCAATGCATACTGCGGGAAGCCAGCGTGCGTGAGCCTTGCCAGGGTTAATCGACCTGTGCGAATCCTGTTCCGTCTCCAGGGCCCTTCCTTGGAATGCAAACTTGCATCTGCCCAGGAACTGCCATCGCTCCGCACCAGACTGACCGGCCTCCGCCTTCCGCAACACCTGCAACCCGAGCAGCACCATCGGACCAGCACGCCCATCATCCCGGGCCATCACGTGGGCTTCCCATCGGCATCTCACTGGGCCCAGCCCCTTCCTCAACCACAATGGGTCTCTCAGCTTTTCCCACATTTTGAAAAGCCAGAAATACCTGGATTGGCCGCTAAGAGCTTTGGAGCCCGGTGGATGGTGCTGGATTTTTTTTATTATTTTTATATATATATATAAATATATATTTGGCCCCGGCACGAGATGCTGGGGTGCCCCCCATCCCTTGTGGCCCCCAAGAGCTTGCAACCCCCCCCCCTTCAACTTAGCAGATCTGGCTTCCAGGAGCCACCCACCCTCCGGACGCACCTGCCAGCCTAATTCGCAGCGTGCAACGAGCGCGCTCACACGTGCGCGGGGCTGGGCAGGAAACGCCCCCGGCTGCCCGCGCTGGCGGAGCGTCGGGGCGCATGCGCACTCGAGGCTGCCGGGCGCGTCTGCAGGAGAAGCACGAGGCGGGTTGCTACGCGGAGCTGCGGCGGCGGCGCTTGCAAAGCCCAGGCGAGGGAGCGCGCGGGTTATTTTGCAGGGAGCCTCGTGGCGCTCGCAGGGGCTTCGGTCTGCATCGGCGCCACTTCTGCATCCGGGCGGTGGGCGAAAGAATAGAACGATGGAAGAGAAAGGGCGGGCAAGATGGTGCAGAGGGTCAGCCATCTTTTCGCGGAAATGCAGGGCTTGGAGCTGGGGGCGATCCTTTGCAGAGGACAGGCGCTGCTCCGGCCAATTCTGGGTGTCCGTACACAGATCTCACCCCTGCAGCAGACTCCCCGTCGTTGCATGGGCGGGGGGCGCGCTAGAGGGGCTGCCCTGGGAAGGAATGGGGCGGGGGCGGCTTCCCTGCACGCTCTCGCTGCAGCATAAAACTTCCCCAACCCCACGAAGTTGGGATGCGGTTCCAGGGACATCGTGTCTTGAAATTATTTGGATGTTGATGTGCGGATCATGCAACAAACCAGAGCAGTATAGATGTTTTTAAAGGGTCTTCTGAGTAGAAGAAATTAAAACGGTAGAAATCCCCCAGGATTGGGGACCAGTGGCCTGGGCAGCGAACAAAGGGAAACGTTTTTCTTAGTGTTGCAGTTGAGGCGGTAGAATGAACTGTATTTGACTGAGGTCCTTTTTCCCCCTCGCCTCTCGTGCGGGCATCTCAAGGTGGGCTCAGCAGGGCTTCCTCCTCCCCCATTGTAGCATCACAGCAACCCGGGGAGGTGGGTAAGGCTGTTGCATCTTGAAGAAAAGCGGGTGCCTTGCTGATTGAGCCATTGGTGTGTTGAAGGCAGGACGCCTGTGCATGTTTAGGCAGGAAGCGGGCCCGCAGCTGTGAGTCGCAGCCCTCTTTTCTGCCCACACATGCTTAGGGTTGCACCCTTAACGAAACACTCTTGCTTTTTATTATTTATTTATTTGGACTGCTTGTATGCAGCCCCTTTCGCATAAGCCTCGGGGCGGCTTCCAACATATAAATAAATATCTATACAATACATATTAATATATTTTTGTTCATCCCGACAGCAGAAGGGAGGCGAAATGGCTTCCCATCCAAAAGCGTTTGCGCCCTTTGAACCTACCGCCAGAGATGCTGTAGAGGGTGAGCCGAAACGGGGAGGCTGCGACTGGTGGGAGGAATCGAGGTGCAAGTCCAGGAAGCGGACAGTACAGCCTCGAGAGGTTTGGGAAAGTGTTCAGGATGGGGAAGGGGAGATGAATCTGGGCAAACTAGAAGAGGCCGTTAAAGAGGCCTTTGAGGATGCGGCCAGCCTGAAAAAGTACAAGGAAACCGGGACGGTCAGTGAACGGTTGCTGGCTTATGCCAGTCAGTTTCATTATTACCCCGATAAGAGTATTTTGCAACTGACCCTAGAAACCTTAATTGTGCAGAGGAAGGGTGCTATTTGGAGTTCCAGCGCTTCCCAGTGCGCTCGTGGTACTCGGGAGACCTGTTCGGTGGCTTTGCGTTTGGGGAGTGGAGAGGGGGTGTGCAGCCCCCCCCCCAAGCAACAGGAGGAAGGCAATTCGGGGAAGATGTTTCTGTTTGGGTGTAAAGGGAAGGAAAAATCAGGGTACCTAGGAATAATAAAATGAGTAACCTGCATTATAGGGCTGCTAATAAAAATACAGAGGTTTGTAGTACCTGGTTTTTTTAAGGTGTTTCTGTTAGTGGCCAATTGGTGATTCCAAGACTGGAAAATTGCTCTGTATCAAGATGGAAAAAATGGTTTATCGCAGCTTTCCTCAACTGAGTGCCCATCAGCTGTTCAGGTGTCCAGTTCCCATGAGCCCCAAATAGTGTGGCCAGGTATAAGGAATGCTTGGAGTTGGACTCCCAAGACTCCGATTACCAGGTTGGAGAAGGCTGTTTTATAGATCTGCTGGTACGTTACATTTTTCTTAGACCTTTGTGTATTGTTCTACAGTTGTTGGAATCCTTAAACAAGTATATATATACTTAACCCTTTATGCAGTTTGGCATTTTAGGTGGTGCATCCAACTTAATTTGTTCGGAAGATTGAGTTTCTGATCCTTACTGTGCTTCGGTTACTGAGCTCTAAAAATAAATTGTATGGACAACAGTTGACCAGCACCAGTAGGGCTTGGTTTGGTGGGTGAAGAATTTAGCCTGGTGTATGTGCGTGAGATATTGTCAAGAGCGTTTGAAAGGGTCGCCTCCCTCCCCAGCTTTTGAACATCCTCTTCAACTTAGATGGACTGGGAGAAGCAAATTAACTTCACTAGTTCCTCTTTCTAGGACTTGCAGGGCAGTAAACGATTCATTAAGCCATTTCTGGACAAATGTTTCCCCCAACCCCGTAGCCTACTTTTGATGTCTGCTTTTTAAAAAATGGGCTTACTTGCGTTGTTAGCCTGGTCCCTGGGTTAAGAATGAGTTCTGTTCCTGAGATTTATTTATTATTTATATTTATTTATATTGCGATTTATATCCTGCCTTTTTCCGACAAAGGGCTCAAGGCAGCTTACATCATCTCTCCTCCTCCATCTTATCCCCACAACAACAACCCTGTGAGGTAGGTTGGGCTGAGAGTCTGTGACTGGCCCAAAGTCACCCAGTTGGCTCCATGGCCGAGCGGGGACTTGAACCCGGATCGCCTGAGTCCCGGTCCCATGCTCTTAACCAATACACCACACTGGCTCTTGTATATGTCAGATCGTGTGTGTGTGTGTGTGTGTATCTATCTATGTAGCATATAAAACACTTACGAAACAGTTGCATGTACACTAAGCCATCTCAATACTGGATCTTCTGCTTGCGTTTATATACGCACTGCCCCTGCAGTCTTCAAGGAGGGGCATCCGCTCCTGATCCGGCAGGGGGCAAGCAAACACCGATAATGGCTGGATTGTCATTGCAGGCCGTGTCCGCCAGAGTTGAGCAGAGAGGGAACCCAAGGACATGACCGGCTCCCACATGCAGTTCTGGTGTGAAAAGAGCTGTGTGGGCAAGCGGCTGCTTCGTGGAACGGGACCGCAGCAGGCGAGGGGCTGCAGCGAGAAGCCCTCGTCGCCACAGAAGACGAAGTTTCCAACCCATCCCGATATTTTCCCAGGATTCCCCAGCCGGGCGCAAACGTTGAGTGTGGGTTGCTGCTGCTGTGTTCTCTGAACCCAGCCAAATAACTCACCAGGGTGCGTGACCCACTGTTCACAACCAAGCAGCAAAACATGGGTTGGCTTCATGGGTTGCTTGTGGGTAAGCCTCGGTTTGTTATCACAGCTGGTTCAGAGAGCATCACCCCTATTTCAGCACTAACCCACGGTTCCACCCTTGGGTGTGGGTTGTGTGTGTGTGAACCCGGCCCCTGGGTGGGCTTGCACAACCAGCCAGCTGGGTGAATTTCCCCTGTGTCCAACAGGCCATGGGGCACGGCAGGGCTGATTCCTGCCCCTCTCCCCTTGATCCCACACTCGTCCCACTGGTATCCCATGCAGAACGGCTGCTCATCAAGTGGTATTGGGGGCAGGGGGAAGCACCCCCCCACAGCTCCTCTCTGACAGCTTTGCAGCCCCCCCCATGGGAAGTCGGTGGGGTCCAGTGGCTTGCT